TTGCTCTGAAGAAAATTGATTATTGCATCACTTGAAATGTTATTGCAAATGTGTCGCAATTATATGAAGCTAGCTATTTGCCATAAATAAATATTTTTAAAATACTCATTAATAATTCATAAACCTTGTGGCAAATCATGTCAGCCATAATATGTCACGTGGAGTGACTTTATATCTGATAAAACACATGTGGCATTATATAATTGTTCATCCTAATTAGCATGATTATATAATGGTTCATCCTAATTAGTATTCTTTTGTAGTCGTATTTTAAGCTATTCAAAACACTCGTTGTCGTGTTTTATCAGATATAAAACGCTCGGCTGCGCCTCGCGTTTTATATCTGATAAAACACTCCTACTCGTGTTTTAAATAATACATATATTTATTATACTGTACACTCCAAAAACACCTCGGTTAAAAATTTCCTGGTTAATCCTTAACACTTGCATGGTTGTTGAGAAAAGGACTGTACAGCACTACACTTTCTTTTAGAAATACGTCCTTCTAATTACAGTATACATGGCCATGGGGGAAAGTACATACCTGTTGCAAATACAAGTTTGTCACGGGTCCCAAACACTCCAGATTATCAATTTTTGTAATTTCAAGCCGATCAAGTCGAATATGAGTGAGTTTTCCTAAAGCATCTGCACTGTAAAACACAAAATTAAGAATCAATCAAAGTATTAAAAAATAAATCGCTAGCTAGCCTGTCGCACTCTTGCCCTAATGGCCTGCTTTTCATGTTAGGCTACCATAGAGTCGATACTACAACTGGCGAACATGAAAATGCAGCTATTGGGGCAACAATGCGATAATTTAAACTGCATTGTTATAAATAATGCTCGTGCTTAACCCTAAAAATAAATGTGGTTGGCTGAGTCGCGGTCACATGGCTTGAGATAAAAGCAATGTATCCCGGCGGTGGGGTAATAAGTTAAAAATGATTGCCCACATCAATTAACCGACTAAAGTAAATCAATGGACGAAATGGAGTGGCAAATGTAAAAATAACATTTTAGGAGAAAAAACCCCAGTTACTATTGCCTTTTTGTTAAATTTAATAGGCAATTCCAGCTTTTAGTTTATGCCTGCAGGGGATGATGGGAAGTAAGGTATCATATTGCTGATTATGCTGAAAAATTTCAATAAAAACTACCGAAACATTCCAATATTTACAAGTATAAGCTATCACTCCGTGTTTACACGGCCACCATTTTTATTTTTTCAGCATAATCACCAATGTGATACCTTACTTCCCGTCGTCCCCTGCACGCATAAACTAAAGCTGGAATTGCCCATATATTACCGTCGTTTTATAGATTAGCTAATACAAGCATCATCTTTAATTTTTGTAAAAGTAAACCAATACTTTTTTGTCAAACAGATGATACCGACCACCGTAAGAGTACGATACTGAATTGTGACAATAAAGTACCACAATGCCAGACCAGACATCATTTAAGGACCCATAATACATTGACTAGTACAAAGTACAGTAATTATCATTCATTCAGATAGAATTATGCCTACTTCGACTGGTGTTTACAACTGTTTAATGTGTAAGATAATCAAAATGCAAAGAAAAACATCCCAAGGTCCAATTGTTCAAAGCACGATCAGCGCTAACCATGAGTTAAAATTTAACCCGCTGTATTGGTTTGCACATTTCCTCAGGTCGGATTGTTTAAGAAAATAAAGCTTTTATTGATCCAGACAAGATTTCTGGAGAACTATTCCTAAGTGTAAACAAGATTTAAAGTTTGTTCGTTCACCGCAACCAGGTATATCAATCATATGTTTCGCTCGCTACTCTGGTTTAAATAAATGACTACAAAGCCCAGTCAAATTGTAATCAAGAGGCAACGTTTTGACACTCCAGTCTAGTGTCTTCATCAGGGCGATCTAAAATTGCAATCGTGGCTTCTTAAATACCAGAGGGATGACGTCACCTGCCAATGAGATGCATGTATTCCTCTGGCAAATAGGCACCGTCATCCCTATTCAAAGCATGATTGCTCATATTTATATGCCACCCTTCTAGGCATAGTCTTTGACCATAGCGATTGTTTGTGGTAATTACTTTAGAGTTTTCCCACGCAATCGCGTGTTTGGTGTCACATACATATTCTGCTAAAACTGATTTTCCCTTGTCTAAAGTCGAAACAGCTTTTTGGACTTTGTAATAATTTATTTAAACCAGAGTACCGAGCGAAACATGTGTAAAGAAGATGTTGTGAAATTTGGTATAAAATTGCAACCTCGTATCCCGGCTCTTTTGGCAAAATTGTACTTCTAAATTATAGGATTAAGCTATAATCAGACTATTTCTTACATATGATCTCCAGACAATGTAGATTTATTTGGAATATTATGATCCGTTATCAGCTTCACAGTGATTTCCTTATATTTCTTGCACTTCGACTTCTCATCTAAGTAAATATAATTTGAATAGTCAACAAACGATTGTAGACGAATTACTGTGGCATATGTACTGTATACTAGGCAGTGTTATACAAGCATAGCCTCGATATCTCATTCATTGACTTCTTTTGTATTTTATTCAGTCTTACGTAATGTTTGAAGTTTCCAGGGTGCGATAATTCGCGTACTTATAAGTACCGGAAGTACACCAATATTACGGTTTGATACTTCTTTGTTTTCAGTCACGTACCATGTAAATACGCGGAACTCTTGCTAACCGCGTATACTTAACAATTATACCATGAGCTCGAGTCGTATATGAGCTGATAGCACATTGCCGAATTAACCAGCGGTGGACACAGGTTATTTTGACTTACATTGCCTCTGATTCAATACATAAACTTGAAGACACAAGCCAAAATAACCCACTGGTGATTGGTTCGGCTTAATTCAAACAAAATTAAAACGACATGCAAAAGTGGCCTTGGTGTGCCCCTTCGAAGTTCGAGCTGTAAATGCATGTGTCTTCCACCAGGACTATTCTTGGTTATCCAGTTGCTATGTCAGTCAGGGTGTTCCATGGTGAACAATGACCTCCACTTACATGGGAATTACCTCAGCTTGTCAAGAACAATGAGTTCTATTAGCTCATGGGAAGAATTATGAGGACTATAAAGAACTTGTTTAATATGTGATCCTGGTTAGGCTGGACAGGACAATGGGATCCTGCTTAGCAGGGACAATGAGAAATTCCCATATATTAAACCATTTAAACCTTCATTGGTACTTTATTATTTTACACTGTCTAACGCCAAACGATTTTATTTTGCTTGTGATGTTACTCTGAGTGTGTATCCACACCGGGCAAGCTTGAAAAATATGCCTGGCCACGGTGGGAATCGAACCTACGACCTTTGGAATACTAGCCCAATGCTCTGCCAACTGAGTACATTGCACCAATTAACACAGAAAAAAATCATGATTACTAAATTACATCGATATCGAAGGATCGAACTAGACTCAGTTCCGAAATATCACATAGTTACTCGAACTGACCTGACCGTGTAGCTCAGTTGGCAGAGCAATAGCTTAATCATTGAGGTGGATTTAGTACAACATGTACCTAAAAACACCTAGCTTGTGGTAGAGTGTCAAACCTCATTCCCAGGGCTTTTCCCTTTTTGTCGACTTTCGATTTTCGATGATGCAATTACCGCTATGTGAGTAACTCGGCAAACAGGCAACTTTGCAAGTTGAATATAACATTTTCGCAAGTAACTAAACATTAGCTAATAGATAATAGATTTCCTTGAATTTATCCCATTCAATCATGTTAATGTTCTTATATATTGAATCATTTTATGTCCCCATTGATCATTTTAATGTTCATTTGAATGTTTAATTTCGCGATTGCGCGAGAGACGTTATCCTCCCTTATGACTGGTAAGTACTTACTGTAATATATAAGCAAACATCAATTATCAGACTCTCGTATTTTTATGCTAGTCTGCTAGAATTTTCCCCGGCGAAAATTTGTTCATGAAGTCATGAACTTTGATGGTGCATTCATGAACGTTCATGTAAATTCATGAACAGTTCATGCTCCGTTCATCAAATATTTTACCTACGGTTCATGAACAAGTGTTCATGAAGTGTTCTTGAATGCTCTTCATGAACTGTTCATGAACAGTTGATGAATGGCCAATCAGTTCATGAACTTTTTGTTTTGAACAGAATAGTTCATGAATGTTCACGAATGTTCATTTGAATATTTCATGAACTGATTATTCATGAAAAATTCATAGAATTCACTTGGTGAACATAACATGAAATTTTGATGAATTTGTACTGATTCATGAATGTTCATGATTTTGTTTGGTGAACTTTATACCATGAACTTTTCATGAACAGTTTTAGTGGATTATAGTACATCATAAATAATTCATAAAATGTATTAATTCAATGAATGTCGATGTATATTTAATGATATTAACTTTACGATCGTATATTACGAGTCGGTAAAGAATTATTCACTACTGTAGTCTGTATTAAATTTATCATTTCAAATTGAGTGAGTTATAGTATTCATTTCTACACGAATCAAACTCTAAATGTCTTTTCTGCCAATTTTATCTGATATCTATAATCAGGTTTGCGCATCTTGGCCATGTAGACAGGCTGACGGCCAAGCCTCGAGCTATATACAAATACAGCTCACATTTAGTGTGCATGGGAAGACAAATTTGCGTGCATGATTTTATAACACAGCACTTCAGTTTTATTATGTTCTTCGTTGTTCTTGCTGGGTTTACTGGCGTTTGTTGGCTTGGATATGCATTTCAAGAATACAACGTTGGTGAAACTACCAGGAGGGGTATACTGTAGCTACGTCAGCGAAATTCCAGCAATTAGTATAGCGCAAACTAAGCGCAATCAAGTAAGTTTTAATAGTATATCGGATCACCGTTTTTAATACGGCCATAAATTAATATGCCCAAAACGTTTCAATAAATGTGTTATATCAAATGTTTAACAAACATAGTGTACGTATACTCGGAACTATAGGTGTCTCCTCAACCTTTAATTGCCCAGTATTGATCTTACAGTAGCTAGGCTAACTAAATTTTCTATGGTATGACAGCGCAACCGGCGCATGGCACACTATTGTAAGGAGAAAGAGTCAAAGTGATAATACTGTGATGGACTCTAATATATACTGAAGAAATCGAGTTTTGAAATCGATTAAATTTATATATATATAGTCGATACATGATTTTGCCATCAACTTATTCGAATGAGGAATTATTGAATTAAGAAGACTCGTAATAGTGAAACGTATTTCATTTCTTAGCGTTCATAATTTACACTATATAGATTATTACGAGCACGCATTCGACCAAGAAATGCCTAAATAAACTCCTACAGTACTTAATATTCTATTCTCTTACTATATTCTATATATATATATATATCCATTTGTTGCCTTGTTTGCGAGTCTACCCTGTGGTAAAATGCGGCATGACTGGCGGAAGACTTAATTTGTTATTTCAGCTGTTTCGGTACAGTAAGTTTTAGTAAGAACTGCGTGCATGAAGACTGAAGTTATTTACTGAACTGCGTATATATATATGAACACATATAGTAAAGACAACCTTGTAGTTGTAATAGTTTAACTGTATCAATATAGGTAAAACTTGAAGTGTAGCTGGATTATTATTAAGACTAGTTAAAATTTATAAAATGTTGGTGAATAATTTCATCAGCTTTTTCACAAACAATTCATAAGCGCAATGCATGGTTCGTATATTATAATTATACGATTTCATTGACAGACCCATTCTCATAGAGTAAAGATTATGATATGAACTATGTTATAATATGGTTTCCAATAGTTTAGAAATCTAAATCAGTTCATGAACATTTCCATCATATTGATCATTAACTGCGCCATGTCCATGAAGTGTTCATGAATCACTTCATGAAAATTCATGAGGAATTCATGAAAAACTAACCATGAATTATTCATGAATTATTCGTGAATGATTCATGAAATGTTCATGATTACAAGATCATGAAGTATTCATGAACAGCAATTTTCATGAACTGTGCCATTTAATGTTCATGAGAAAATTCATGAACAGTTCATGAATATAGCTCATGATTTGCTCTTCAAAAATGCATGAACATTAGTTCATGAACTGTTCATGAACAAAAAAGTTCATGAACTTATTATTCATGAACTGTTACTTTCATGAACTGTGCCATTTAACGTTCATGCACATTCATGAAGAGTTCATGTACTTTTGATGGAAGTTCATGAACAAAATTCATGAATTTTTCATGAATAATTCATCAAATTTTCACCGGGGTTATGCAAGTATATCAAGTTTCAGGGAGATTAAAATAGTGACACATGTACGTTGTGAAATATGTCTAATAGTATGTAGGAGGATGAGCAATTATAAATTGCCAAGAATAACACGTATGTAGAACAAGTGATGTCAAAATTATTTGGATGGTGTCAAACGGTGTTCACTGAACTTCACTCATACTACCATTTTCGAGCTTCCGTGAAGCGTGCATTTATAACTAGGTTTTAAAATGTTTCTTCAGCATGAGTTTGCCATTCAAAACTTTTTATTTCGCTCCTAAAACATTTTGTTTTGACATAATAACTTCTGTGGGCGTGGTATAAAACATATTGTTTTGCACGCGAAACTTTGAATTTCGGCATCAAAACTCAAAAGGGCACTTGTATTAGAGAGGTTTGTTACGTAAACATATCCAGAAGGTGCTATAAATCTGTTATTTCGCTTTCTATAGCAATTTTGTCAGTATAAAGTCAGTCCATGTGAAAAATAAGAAGAAATTTTCGTGTGCAAAACAATGTGCTTGACACCACGTCCACAAAAGTTACTATTGCAAAACAAAAAGTTATGATTGACAAACTCATGCTGAAGAAACGTTTTGAAACATAGTTATAAATGCACGCTTCACGGAAGCTCGAAAATGGTAGTATTTAATCCCTGCCAGGGGGAACGGCATTCTCCCAGTTTGATTTTGGCAGGGGGACAGCGTTCCCCTGGTAAAAAAGGTGGGGGACGGCGTTCCCCCTGGAAAACATCACTGGATCGCCGCCAGGCGATTGTGCTATTCTTCAAGCTCGATGACTGCATTTCTTGCGTTTTCTGAAGCAAATTCGTAAAAGAATCACACTAACATTTCTGACAATTCGCTGTTAGGCCATGGGAATGAAAGTCATAGATTTGCGTCCGGATAATTTTGAAAAAACATGCGGGTTTTTTTCATTATTTAATTTATTCATTATTTTTTTACCATCCTTTTGGGTGGTAAATACAGAGATCAAAACACGAATTACCGTTTACGCCACAGAATTACATATATCTCGAGCTCACGCAGTTGCAGTACTGAAGATCTGTGTGCCAATTTCGCCATTTCGGTGAATATAATTTGGAATTTCATAGAATGTGGATACGGAGGACAAACACACTGCAATATGTTCATTTTATTGTAATCAATACACAATTTTATTGCTAATTTTATTGAGTTTTGCTTTATTTGTCAAAATAATGATTTTTTTTGTAAATAATGAAAATTTTAGGCGGTAGCTTTTGAGGCATGCGGGCGGTGGACGCAAATCTATGACTTTCATTCCCATGGCCTTATGCCAAGGTAATCTTTTAAATTGAAAGGGCACCTTTGCCCCCCCCCCTCCCAGTTCCGGCGTCCTTGTGCATGCACACATAATAATAAACAAAAAAATTTTTGTCAAAATGTAAACATCAAACTTTATGTTATGAAAAATTATATACGTTACCATCCATTATATTCCCTATATTTCCACGAGATGAGGTGAAAATTTGTAACTGATATATCGATGCACTTCCAAAATAGCAAAATCCAGAGGAATATTATATAAAATTGCAGTTTTTAACGACGTTTTTGAGGTTTGGTTACACCACTCACCGGCCAGTTCTATGGATATTACATGAAGAAAATATATTATTATTTTCATGATATTACATGAAGTAGTTGAAAATAGTGCGCGGGCGCGCATTCGAATGATGACTCATCATAGAAGAAAATAAAAACAAAGCGTTTCAATTTTAACCATTTTACGATATTTTCAAAACGTTACACTACACGTCTGCAAGTGAAAACCAATTATAATCTCGAATATGGATTTTTTACGGGAAGAAGTCGAAAATCTTAAAAAAGTTGGTCACAATTGGGAAATGGAAAAATACCAAATCGAGGAAGCAATCATGAAGGCCATTGCAGGTAAAATATGCTCAAAAGCACGTATTAAGTCGTATAAAGTAATACACAATTCACAGCGATTAATCAGTAATATCTTACCTTTGGGTTATTCGTCAGACATCGGATTCTCAGATCTATGAGAATATATTTTTCCTCGTTCTTTGAACATATTTGTTGATTAAAGAATCGCTGTATTAAGTCCGTTATGTAAACAAATGCTTTGTTTACATTTTGAACTCAGTGCTACAGTAATGTAAAATATGATTAGATATATATTATACTGAATTTTTAACACTCTTCTGGTTCGCTATGCTTGTAAATGAATACAGATTAGAGATTCAATTCAAGAAAGTTCGGAAGGTGCGAAATAAACATAATTCCAATGTTCATGTACCGAGTCTGACTGGTCATTGGATTGCAAGGGCGGATTTAGGGGGGGGGGGGTTAGAAAAATTTCTGGTGGGGTGCAAGAGACACCATTGAGTAAGCTTCGACAGGGGTTAGGCGTTAAGGTTAAGGAGGGGTGAAGCAAAGTTTTGGTGGGATTGAACACTATAAGAGGGGTTAGAGAGATTCTAGGGGGATTAATCTAGGGTGGGGTAACCCCCCTTAACCCTCCCCCCCCCAGTAAATCCACCCATGTTGGAATGTAGGCCTACACAGAACGTATGCGCCCAACATACGTTACATAGTTACCAAATAAATGTCAGAAGATTTCAAGAAAATCCTTGTGCATCAGTCAATTCTATGATTGTCCATCCCCCCTGACCTCGTCAGACTTCCTTGACAGTATTTATATGTAAGTTTCCTTGTATAAAAGCTGCAGTTGTCATCCAGCTTTTGAACAACAAATTAACAAAAACATGCTCACCCGTTCAGTGGTTATACAAATTAGCATATAGCAAAAAAAAACCTTGTTTTTATTTTTGTATATGTACCAGAAGTATGTGTACCATACCTATGTATGCCAAAAGTTTACTTGCATGATAATAATTTGAAAATGATATACACATAGATAAATGCAACTAGTTATTCAAAATCAGTGTAAGGGGCCTGGGAACGACTGTGTTGCCTTGACAACAAAATTAGAAGTATTTTCCTATGCGTCTCATCATATACTATCTGTATGCAAAATTTGATTTGATTTGAGCTTATAATAACTAAGCTATGCTTCAGTTTACTATTCAATAAACATACTTACCCAACTATAAATGACCTCACACATTGTGCTGAATCAGCAATTTATATTTTGCATATTTTTGCATATAACTTCGGAACCATGAGATACAGTAGAATAGAGCAGTAAACGGACAATCGGCTTATTTTTTCATGCTCTTTCAGATAAAGCAATAAAACTTTTTATTGCCAATACCCTTTAAGAAGCAGACATATAGTAGATACTACATTTCTGCAAAACAAGTCCACCACAAGCGAAAACAGTATTTTTGAATAAATACCAAGGCCGGTGATTTCCAACAAACTATAACAATTGAAAGTTACAAATTACAGTCAAACCGGATGTTCTCTTGCGAGCAACATTGCAATATTGTCCCTAGCCTGCGCGGCAGGCGGTATTTCTACAGGCAGCGAAAATTAGGGAGGCAAAGGAAATACCGTCTGCCGCAAAACTAGGGGTTTTTGAATTACCCGTCCGCTGGTGAACGGGAAAAACGGATTGGTTAGTATTTTTATGTAGTTGTCAATCAACGGCTAAATTCGGTTAAATGTTAATCATTAACCAAATGTTTTGCCGTTTTGAAACTCTGCGTTTTGAAATTAGTTCACGTCAAGTCAGACCAGAAATGGAATAACATAATAAAAGAAGCAAATTAAAAGATACAAGCTGAAAAATAACACTCTAAATAGTGTTTTTGATAGAGATTCGAACAAGAATATTTAACAAAGAAGATACGTCCGAAGGGGCCGAAGTTATGATCGGCGAAAGGTATGGGCTAGTCTATATTTTCGTTCAGACAATTACATGCGTATTAATTTGATAATATACGATCTCGCTTGACTTTCAAAGGCCATAAATCGCAATAATGTTGACATTTTACTAAAACTATCGATAGAAATTAGGAGATATTTCTTCACTGAATCGAACGTGGGATTTTCATATAGGCCTATCATGTTCTGAACCAAAGATACTTGATAGATATTTATAATATATACGAACCTCCAAAGTATAAACAAGGGGCCGGTTGATGCAGTAATTATCAAATAACAGTTAAACTCTTATATACCCGTTGAATATGTATAGTTGTAAACAAATAAAAACTATCGTTCTATAAGGTTCAAAACTTTCAGTTTGGTTGTTGATTGATGATGAATCTATAGTATAGACTTGCATGCTTTGTATTTTGAGCTTATTAAAAGGTAGCTAAACGGGCTTGGTTTATATTAACACATAAAATAAATTCCTTGATTCTCATCACTAGACACAGTCTACACTTTGAAATGTCAAAGACAGTGGGAGATTTATTTTTTATATTTTATATTTATATAATTATATATCAATAGTTCGTATCTCCACGAACAATGACAGAATGACTGAGTTTCTTTAAAATACAATGAAATTTCATTCAAAATTCTGTTTGTTTCAAATTGGAAGTTTAATAAAATATAAAAAAATTAATTGTCTTGAATTATTTTGTCGGGCGGTACATTTATATTGTATAACGAAATATAAAACGTTTTCACGAGGATTTTAAAATTCAGTCGGTTGGTGATGAGAATCAAGGAATTTATTTTATGTTGGGCAGTTGGGACTTGGGAGCAGCTTGGGAGTGGCTAATTTTGAATATTTACTTAATGCATCTATAAATAGCGTTGATGCTTCAGGGGTGGTAGTTCATTTACACCCAGTTTTGCGGCAGGCGGTATTTCCTAAGTACCGCCTGCCATGCAGGCTATATTGTCCCTAGTCTAGGACCTGTATATGAGTTTGTATGCGATTCATTTAGGACAGGTAATCTCAACTGTTTTAGGGTAAAATGACCAGGGCGGTCAACATGGCATATGTGCGAAAACCTGAATCCAGGACGAAAGTCCTGAAAATGTCCCCGCCCTGAAATGGCAGTGTCGACATAGCTCTAACTTCCGAAAAGGAAAAGCGATAGCCTTTCTGAAGTGCTTATAGTGTTTAGAAGGGTTGCTTTTAGGGGTGGTCATTGGAAGGAAAAATTTTTCTAAGTATATTATTTTACCAGAAAATGACTATGCACCACCCCAGGTAAATTGCTGATTATGCACAAAATAACTAATATGCTTGGCAGAAATTAAATATTCTTATTTCCTAAAAAGAATATCATGGGGTGAAAAACTATCTAATGCTTAATTTAATATAAATATTGTTGATTTCATAAGGATTGTCATTGTTTTCTTTAAACATTAGATAATACATTTTATTCACTTACCCCCCACGAAAACACGATTTCAGCCATATTTTGCCGTCTTGTTTGCTTTTTATCGCCGAATCTCGCAAATATCATCCAGTTATTGTACTTTTACATGATCATAAATGGCTGAAGAAGATTTCAAAGAAGGTTTCATCCACTTTTGTAATAGTGCAGTGTATTTTACCTTCGATATTGTGTCCTTCGATATTCCGCCAAATTGCCGCCATTTTAATGGCTCGCCGCTTCTCTGTCTGATAAATGCAACTTCTTCGTTTCCATATGTATTTAGATTACAGTATCCAAGAGCACTTCATTGTAGAATAGTCCCAATCGAAAAATTGGCAACATTTGTCCCATTGGGAAGGAAAAATCCTCCCGTATACCATTTAGGTTCAAAATAAAAAACAAATCATTTGAAAGTCACGCGCAATCTTCGCGAAAACTTCACGTGGACACATGACAGGGGGGGGGGTGAATATTTCGCCACCACAGAAACATAACTAACTATATTGTATTTATTGTATTTTTATGATTTATAAATCAACAAACCCCTGCAAATGGAATTAGACACTGGCTCTGCTGTATCTGTACTTCCACTTAGTAAATATAACACAACGTTTAAGTCAAGCAAACTCCACCCAACAACCACTGTCCTCAAAACCTACACCGGGGAGAGAATCCAACCCGTAGGAGTCTTGAATGTCCAAGTTAAGTATAAAGAAGAGATGCAGAAGCTAAATTTGTATGTGGTCGAAACAAAGGGGCCTGCCCTCTTTGGTCGAGACTGGCTAGAAAAGATCACACTAGATTGGAAAGCAATCAACACATTGGCAACCACACCACCAGGAAATCCATCAACCCGATTGCAAGAGATCCTCGATAAGTATAGGGATGTTTTCGAAGAAGATATTGGTCTGCTAAAGACTACCAAAGCAAAGCTGAACCTGAAAGAATACAGCCAGCCAAAGTTCTGCAAAGCGAGACAAGTACCATATGCTCTGCGACCAAAAGTTGAGGCTGAGTTGACCAAGTTGCAGAATGACGGCATCCTGACCAAAGTTGATTGGAGTGAATGGGCATGCAACCCCGGTTGTTCCAGTGATAAAGAAGAATGGCAATGTTCGATTGTGTGGTGATTTCAAGCAAACCATCAATCCAGTCTTGCACGTTCAACAATACCCGCTCCCAAGGATTGATGATATTTTTGCATCCCTCGGTGGTGGGCAAAAGTTCAGCAAGATTGATCTGCGACAGGCGTATTTACAGATGGAAATGGAAGAAGAGTCAAAGAAATTCCTAACAATCAATACCCATAAAGGATTATTCCAATACAATCGGCTTGTATTTGGTGTAGCATCTGCCCCTGCAATATGGCAACAAGCTATGGATCAGATATTGGAAGGAATTCCCCATGTGCAATGTATCCTTGATGACATGATCATATCTGGTGCAACCGACCAAGAGCATCTTGACAACCTAGAAGAAGTTCTCAGTCGACTTAGTAGACATGGTCTCAGAGCCAACATCAGTAAGTGCGAATTCTTCAAAGAAAGAATCGAGTTCTGTGGTCATGAGATCAGCAAGCTGGGTCTGCACAAGTCCCAGCAGAAAGTGAATGCTGTGATAAATGCACCACGTCCCGAAAATGTTTCCCAAGTTCGTTCCTTTGTTGGTCTTATTAATTATTACCACAATTTCCTTCCAAACCTTTCTACCTTACTTCAACCACTAAACCAGTTGCTCGAAAAGAGAGACGGTAGAAATGGACCTCGGAATGTGAGCAAGCTTTTCTGAAAGCAAAGGAGTTAATTGCATCCGAGGAAGTCCTTGCACATTATGACCCTCAACGCCCAATCAAGTTAGAATGCGATGCATCTCCGTATGGGTTGGGGGCAGTTTTAACACAAGTCATGGGTGATAATACTGAACGACCAATAGCTTATGCTTCAAGGTCCCTTACAAAAACTGAAAACATTATTCTCAGTAGGCTTTCGTATGGGGTGTGAAGAAATTCCATACTTACATATTTGCACGACATTTCACCCTGCGAACAGATCATAAACCATTGACAGCAATTTTCAGTCCAACCAAGGCTATACCAGCAACGACTGCTGCTCGACTCCAACGACATGCACTATTCCTTTCAGGGTTTGACTACGAGATTGAACACCGTAGTTCAACACAGCATTGTAATGCAGATGGATTGTCCCGTCTACCTCTAGCGATAACTGAAGAGGAAGAAAATCCGTCTGTTGACCCGGTTGAGGCATTTCATGTGTCACAGTTCAACATGTTACCTGTCACTTGCCAGCATGTACGCAAAGAAACCCACCGAGATTCTACCCTCGCCCAAGTATATGAGCATGTCATGAAAGGCTGGCATGAAAATAAAGACCCCAACCTGCAACCGTTTTATTCTCGAAGAAACGAACTAACTGTGCACCAAGGATGTATTATGTGGGGTAGCAGAGTTGTCATTCCCACAAAGTTACGAAGCGAAGTACTACAAGTATTACACGAAAGTCATGTTGGTGTGGTTAGAATGAAAGCTCTGGCTAGAAGTTATGTTTGGTGGCCAGGAATAGATTTTGAGATTGAAGGGCTCGCAAAAGGATGCAGTGGTTGCCAGCGGGTTCAACATGCCCCCAAATGCTCACCATTAGTGGCCATCTACCCCCTGGCAACGTATTCATGTCGATTTTGCAGGATCATTCCTTGGAATGATGTTTTTAGTGATTGTTGACGCTCATTCAAAATGGCCAGAGGTAATAATCATGCACTCGAAAACAACCACCTCCTAAACTGTCGAAGCCCTGCGAACAGTGTTTGCTCGAAAGTGTTTGCTCGTGTTACCAGAACAACTGGTTAGCGATAATGGCCCTCAATTCACTGCAGAACAATTCCAGCTGTTTCTAAAGAAAAACGGAGTTAAACACGTAACTTCAGCACCATATCATCCAGCCACTAACGGCTTAGCAGAAAGATTCATTCAAACCATGAAACAATCTTTGACTTCAATGAAGGAAGGCCTTGGCTCCACGCAGACCAAACTATCCAAATTCCTAATGAAATATAGAAACACACCACACAGCACGACTGGTGAAACACCAGCAACTCTCCTGATGGGACGAAATTTACGCACACGGTTAGACTTGATCAAACCGGATATTCGAAAGCATGTTATAGAGAAACAAGTCAGCCAAGCCAAACCCAAAGGTGCTATTGCTGGTAATTTACGTTAACTATTCATTGGGCAGGCAGTTAGTGTCAGAAATTACAGAGGGAAGAAAAAGTGGATTCAAGGAATTGTGCGTGCTCGAACCGGACCAGTGTCATACCAGGTCGAGATTGCACCAAATGTTATCTGGAGGAGACACATCGATCAATTACTTGCCTCGGAGAACATAACAAACGACACTCAAGATCTCGAACCAGTTACAGATATTCCAGGTTTGGCAAATGAAAATAATGCTGAAGACGAAACAGCCGTGGACATACAAGACCAGCAGGAGACTTTCGAACCAAATCAAGAAATGGATGAAGTAGAACAACCTGAACAACGATATCCTGTCAGAATTCGGCATCAACCAAATAGGTTAGGACTTGATAATTAAAATAGTACTTGTTATGTATATGGTGCTAACATATTACGGACGCCATAAAAACATTTATATTTTGTTAACAATGTTACGTGGGGAGAGATGTGGTGTATGACCCATGATGCTTTGGGGTCATCACCACGAGGCATGATAGTTGTTTTGAACATGATATTAAAAACACAATGAATATCGAAGAACACTACAATGCAGATTACCAAACTCACGCAACGAATATAAAGCGATTGCAAAAAACCTAGAAAATAATCGATAATCGAGAGCAGCTCTGTATATATAAAATCTACACGCATGGCTGTTGGCTGGTATTGTTTTTTTGGCTACGCTGAGAAGGACCAAGCCTCATTTTTACAACGAGTATAATAATAGGATGATTTCTAGTGCAATTTGGATAAAACATGCACGAATCAGTTTTTCAAAGGGCATCATTGAGCTCTTTGAAAATCTCACGAGTGCTTATTTTATCCACATTTCGCGAGAAACCATCCTATTATACGTATTACTGTCGTTCCAATTGAAATGTTACTCAAATATTGATTCAATACATTACCTCGGGCTGACCATGCAATTCATACGAATTCAAATTTCTTTTTACTTCCTGTGAGTTTCCTATTGGTCAATTGGTTCTGAAACGAAATCTAATTGGCTCATTTAAAAGTAACCTGAAGTTGATCAATTTTCTATCAAATGAATTGCATGGTCAGCCCGAGGTAATGTATTGAATCAATATTTGAGGAACACTTCAATTGGAACGACAGTAATAATATGGTTACATAAAAATGTTCGAGACAATTGTAGTTTTAGCTTAGCGAACCGTCCACTGGAAAAGTTTTTCTGCTTTGTTATACGACATTATACAACGCTAACGGCTTTGTAGCAACAATTATATGTAAGTTTTTCCAGTCTTGTTTAATTAAGGTAAAGTCTTTTCCATTAAAAAAAAAGATAAAAGTCATATTTTCCACCCGAACTCATCTTTTACTTTGTGTAGCACGCCGGCCGTGTATGTTTTTCCTTGAAGCAATCTGTGACCGTTAGGACTGCTTTCCTGCACCAATCAGACCGATTTTTGCACTGTTGTTACAGATTTTTGCACTGCTTTTTGAGAGTAACTGCACTGAAATCAACGAATCACAGTCGAGGAACATTTCCAAGTATGTTATCATAACTAATACAGTCTGGTGTTTGGTTTATTACAGATAAAAATGGAAATATTCCTGCATCTGCCTCAGACGAGCAGACACAAGCGAGGCCAGCAAAACGAGGATGTTGTCAACGTTGTTTAACAGTGGGCGGTGTGATCACGCTGTTTTTTCTGTTTGCCGGAGTTGGAGTTACAGTTCTCTATAATAATTACTCTCCATTTGAGGTGTACATCAACAGAGTGGTTGGTGACTTGACCTACCCAGTGTTGAGAACATGGCGTCACATCGTACTGCCACTGCACCGATTTGTCGATGTTCAGTCTTACTCAATGGCAGAATGCTTAATCAACAATCCATGGTTCATAGCAGGTATATTGACAATAATAGCAACAACAACAACAATAATAGTTTATTTGTACCTTAATACAATTTACATGGTAAAATTACAATTATTAAAAAGAATATAAATAATAGGCACAGGCTTCGAGAAATAACCTTAAGAGGCTAAAAATGCCAGGAAGCCCACTTTGCAGACATTTTGATATTCGGATTATTATAAGGTCGAGGACTAAAAATATATATCAAGGTACAAAAACAAAGGTCATTTTCAAATCGCTACATATAACAGGAACGGTTTGAATACAACAAAACACACACACAGTACAGCACACAGATCTACATTATTACGCAATTTTTAAAAGTTAAAATAACCGCGAGCATATAGTACGTACCACCAGTTTCTGTGGCCAGATATCATTGAAAGGAGAAGAAGAGGATAATTATACATGAAAATTAATTTCCAGTTATTTATAGGCTATATTCAATATTTTATGGACTAGTATATTCAATATTGATCTAAATAGTCATCTTTCAGCTTTTTTTTTTAATTTATAAAAGGAAAACGATTTTACCTTAGAGCAAAAATGCAACTATAAGCTGTCTGGCATCAATGGAACCTGCGGTTCCGGTGCAACTGAGCTTTAGTGATTGACCGATTGTGCAACAATTAGAAATTATCGATCACCGATTATTCATGCCACAATCTGCCAGATACCGATGTCGATATCGATTTTATAATGACGTTATAATAGCAGTCACCGAGTGATGGTGACATCATTCATGTCGTTTTTTAACGCTAATTTCCAATGTAACAGGTTACTGCAACCAAAAAAATTTTCTCAACAGTCGGTTGTAGACAATCGGAAATATATAGATAATTCTACCGGTACCAATTGTTTATCGATAAGGCAAAAATTGGCCCGATACCGATTATCGGTCAATCACTACTGAGCTTAGCATGGCCAGTTGGAGAACTTTAACCGCATGTTCACAAACATGCATATATGCTAACTAAAGGTGCATGCATGATGGCAGTGGTAGGGTAGACGGGTAGGTAACAAAATTTGGGGCATCCAAGGCCAGAAATCACGGACATAGAGATTACTTCATGGTTATGATTCACAAGTGAATAAAAGTCGTATTCGAGAACCAAACATGATGTTATTTCTTTATTATATATATACTATTTGTATGAAATGAATGATTCGGAGTTTTAAATAAGTTTTAAATTGTCCGTGAATATGATTAACGCAATAAAATAATAAACGATTCCTACCTTTCAAGTTAAATACAACATTTTGTGCTTCTTTTATTTTCTGGGGACTATTTTTTTAATATTTCGTCGATTTTAAAACCAAATTTGCCGAATCATTCTTTTTGAAAACCATTATTTATACCAGTCTGCTGGTAAAGAATGCGTCAGATTAGCTGATGAACTACTAATTCCGTCTGATTGAGCCTGACACTAATGTGTACTTTTTGAAATATTTCACAGATGAACCTGATTGCGGCTCATGTGAAGAAGCAATTAATGTTCCAAGGGTAAAGAATGTGACAAACTTTGCTGACGAGTATCTAGCTTGGGGTAATCCAGTCATTGTCACTGATGTTCAACCATACATGACCAAGGACTTTACAATGGACAGATTTTCCATGTACTATATGGATCATAAAGACAAGCTTGATGCAGATATATGCGAAGTATCGTCTGAGGATGAAACTGTTGACACAATTGAAGATTATTTCAAGTTACTGGAGAAATTGGGACTTGAAGCACCGAATATACGATGGTAAGTGCTGTACATACACTCTAAAACACTGACAGGTTAAAATTTTCTTTTTAGTTGGGTTAATTAATATTCCTGGTTAAATTCACTGGTTATATACCCGATAACTAAGGAACGAGATGAGGGATGAAAAAAGTTGTTAAGGCTATTCTTCATCATTTTCAAGGCACTGTACTTTGAAGGAATACATAAAAAATGGGGAAACAATTCCTATACTTTAAGGCTATAACAATGGTTACCTTGTGAATTTTCATGTTGCGGTTTAAGCCTTCGATTTTTGTGCAGAAGCCTTTCTTAAAGTGGTTCTGTATCATTTAAAAACAACCCTCCTGCAGTCGAAAATTTACTTTTCAAAAAAATTGTGGTAGTGAAGATACTAGCAGACCTCAAACTACATGTATACCCATGCTGGCATCAAGTTTTCACAAATTGTGCGGAACTTGCTGTCTAGCGGACATTTTCGAACTGTGCAGGGTTTTTTTATACACCCTGCATGTATTGGCACATGAACAACATACATCCAATCTAACTAGCCTTCCGTTTAGCGTTAAGTGATCGCGAAAATGTATCGTGCACCTAAAATGGATAAAACGCCAAATCCCTGCTGGCTCGTAAGCGTGTGGGATGTTGGGATCCGAGGTAACTGCGTTGCCTGCAAGTGACTGAACCACCTGCAAACCTGGGTCATGCAGAGGGTCTTGTGCACGCTAATATATATACATTAGTAGAAAATTTCAATTTTCCCCAGTATCGTTTTGCAATATTTGCCGGCCATATTTCCAAATCTGTATGATTTGACTATTTTCCTGTTCTGTTACCAAATTTATTAAGCTGTCAAGTTCTGAGTTATGTTACCTATTGCCAAAATGGACTTTTTCCGGCCCAGTTGTTCCAAAAGTTTCCCCCGGCCGGCCGGTGCCCCATCACAACTCGCAAGCTGTGCAGTATATATAATGGCATATTGGCTCGATGGTCCTCAATAGGTAGAGCGGCGGTCTGGAGTCCCGATATTAGCTCACTATTAGTGAGCTTAAGCAAGTGACGTTTTTGACAACACGAACGGCATGAGTAACGTCAGACGACTGGGTCAAGGGCTGTACGTGATTGGCGAGCAAATCTTCCCTGACCAGTTTACTTGCTTGTGTGTACAATGAATAAGATTTTTCGATCATCCAATTTTCCCTTGAAAGTTTAGTTTTCGTTCGAAGCTGCTTCAAACAGAACTGAAAAATTGTCGACGATGCCATAATTCAAAAGCGAATTTCAAAACAACGAGATGCAATGACTATGAGTGCTCGAAGATTATTTGCAAGTTTTCTGTGTTCGAAAGCTGACATGACTATAGCTTTTGAACAAGAATCGGTGTCAATAATTCCTGGGTTTTTTATGTTCGTAATGGTCGTTAAAATAGAGTCACGATCTTTCTCAACGGCCAGTTTATAATAGTTTATACCTGCATGTAAACCTCATGTAAATCATAAGTATTCTTTAGTTATAATCACTCCGCGTATTTTCAGTTCAAAAATGTTGTATCTCGGTCGATGAGATCGCTACTCAATCTACGTCCGTTACGACCATACAGTATACAAACCAGGCTTAAGCAAAACAATGTCAAATTTTTCCGTACAGGCAGTAAAATTTTTGCAGTAAAACTTTTCATGGAAGTGCAGCTGACTTCAGCAGTGCAGAGATCGTGTTGGAAAATTCTGCAGTTAATACGTTCGAAAGATTGTTAGGTTGAATGTTTAACATATAATAGGTATACTCAATTCCATTTTTTTTTCAGATCAGAGGTCAGGCACAAATCACAGCCCTAACTTTATATTCGTATATGTTTTAGGAAAGTGTGCTATGGCGAAGGTTTACGAGCTCTTCGCAAATTCTTACCAAGACCATATTTTGTGCACACTGAAGGAGCTTTAGAAAAGTATCTGATTATTATTAATTCCAATGAAGAGGTTCTACCATTGGTAAGTGTGTTCCACCGCTCCACCCCATTTAGGTATTATCAACCATATGGGAGACGATTTAGCGGCACTTACTAATTTCAGGCTTTTGTATTCTTTATTGCCTACTTTAGGCCGTTTGCCGTGACCTAGAAATATGCCTAGAAAACGATTTTCATTAAGCATGCCGTGGAACTGAAATATCTTCACGGTAACTAACATTTTAAAACACGCTGAATTCAAATCCGAAAAGTTGCCGCTCCGTAGATCCGCAGTTTTTTCACAAATTGCATTTGTATTTTCAGTTCTTCAACGAACAAAAATAAACACGCGCCATTTTGAAATTAAATAACATCACTCAGAGTATGCCGCATCCATTGAACTATAAATAAACTGGAAGGCTAACTGCTATGATGAAGGCCTATGATTTGATGAAGCCAAAATAGTTTTTCTGAGTTATGAGCAGAAATACTTGACCCCAAACGTCGGGCTATATATCAAATTGAAGCTATTGAAAATTGCTATTCGGTGTGGAAATTTCAAGACTTCAGCCAAAAGAAAAATATTTAAAAAATACAAAAACAACTGCAAAACGGCAAATTATCGGTAATTATGTTTGTAGTTTTTCAATATTTCCCTTTTAGCTACAGTCTTGAGATTTCTACACCAAATAGCGTTTTTCAATAGCTTCAATTTGATATATAGCCCAACGTTCAGTGTTGAGTATTTCTGCTCATAACTCAGAAAAACTAAAATGCATTGGCTTCAATTTTGCCCCCCTGAGTTAGCCTTCCAGTTTATTTACAAGCTCTGTGTGCGAGATTGGTTTATTTATAGTTCAATGGCCGCATCCTCGTTCCCAGGGCTTCTCGGCTGCCTGCGTTGAAGCCCTGGGAACGAGGATGAGTCATTCTCGTACCCAGAGCCCTTCTTACGCGCGTTCGACCGAGCCCGACGAGGGGCTCTGGCCAAATCCATATCAAACTGGCTTCTGATTGGCCACAACCAAATATATGGTTTATTATAGTAAATAATGAATAAAAATACACAAGCGCTCCACGAAGCGTTGGTTTCCCTTTGAAAATTGGGAGAAAAGACATTATTAAAGTTGAAAGAACAGCAGTACGAAGCAGTTAGGAAGATTGTTGTTGATAATCGCCCACAAAAGCGGTAGATGTCGCTAATTTTATTTATTTAAATCAATTAGTTGATTGAAATTAATAGGTTGAGACGTGATGTTCTCATAGCAAAAAGTCAGCATATTTATGGCAGATGCTCGTCGTATTTCCAAATCAGTGATGTTAATCAAACAAATCTGCGTTACATGTTCAAAGCTGAAGTGCCATCTGAAGAGAAAATATTAAAGCCAGCCAGAATATGAAGTTAATTGTGATGACTATTTTCTTCCTAGAAACCGATTTTTTACAATTTTCAAATGATTTGCAGTATAGTATGTCTTATGTATGACTGTTGACTTTTAATAAAACACAAAAAAGTCTAAAAATCTGTACAACAGCGACTTAAAATCGAATATAAAATAGTGAGACAATCTCTCGTCTTCGTATCCGTAGCCATTACTGCTTTGGCAACGTTTAAGAGGGAAATATATACTAAATTTTTATCAACATGCATTGAGAACATCACGTCTTACCTACTAATTGATTTAAATAAATAAAATTAGCGAAACCTACCGCTTTTGTGGGGTTTTCCTGGAGAAAAACTTTCAAAACGAAACAAACAAGAAAGCCGAAGTGTTTATCCGCGTTTGACGTTGAGCATGCGCAGTGTTTAACCGGATACCATGTTTTTTATGGTATCCGGTTATGGATTTGGCCAGAGCCCCTCGTCGTGCTCCGTTGACCGCGCGTAAGAATGGCTCTGGGTACGAGAATGGAGGATGAGTATGCCGTTTAACCCGTTTTTGCACCCCAGTCTCCGATGCTCATGACCGAGTTAAGGTTTAGAGCAATGTTATTAAATTTGCTGCAAAACAAACACAGTCACGTGGTTTTAAAAATGGCTAGTCAGAGTGACTTTCAGTTTATTTGCCAGTAAAATCGCTAAAGAATGAGAAATAAAAGTTTAAATTATTTATTTGGCCGAGAAAAGCAATAAGGTAGGTGTTCTCTGTGTATATTTTTTGAGTTTGTTTAAGGCTAATGGCCTATAGAAGAACAAACAAGTGATTATTAAAGTGAACAACCATCAGTCCATCACGATTTATTCAGGTTTTATAGCTGTCAGATACATATAAGGAAAGGATTAATTAAGGCCAGTCTGCTTGAAAACTCACAGTAAAATTGTTCCATGTATCAAGTCTGCTGTTTATGGGAATTATTGTTGGTCATAAGGTGTAAAGTAATTTATGGAAACTGTTATTCAAATATTGATTTATCACCCCATGAAATATCAAGAAGGCCAACAAAACCATGAACATTTGCATAGTATAAATGATTATTATATCTGCATAACCTGCTGCTGACTTATTTATTCCATGCTTTATTGCATTTTCAAGATTTACACTGTGCTAGAATATATACACACAAGAATATGTAATAGGATATACAAGTAAGATTCCGCATGAATAGATTGGGTATAAACTTGTATTAATTCCGTCAATTACAAGGAAACATGTTTGGCTGACACAGATCAGCCTGGTTTTGAGATCTACAGTAGCTGCTCATATAAGCAGCCCTAAATTAGAATATCTACAATCCTGGAAAAATTTATTGTGGTCAGTGTGTGCAAAAATACAAATACCTGCCTTGCTCTTGCCCAAAAATACGTGCAAAAACAGCATTTTTTAACTGTTGAAATGCTTTTAGATCGGTTAGGCGAAAGCTCTGTGACTGATGGGGGAGATGAAGATGCCAATATGTGTATGTGAACAGTAATACTTTAATCATTCACACCTATAAGTGTCCACAGAATTTTTGCCATGATTGTAGCTATATATATGGGTGGAAGCAAAACTGTGAGTTCAAAATATATTCAACAGCAAAAATGTTTTGTTGCCCAATTTGGCAAAGTAATACTTTATATGTTGTTATGCTGGGATTTTTCCAGCTTGACAGTAAACAAGCTGTTTGTTTTGTTTTATAACCTGTTAGAAATAAGGAAAAATACATGAGTCCCAGGCAGCTGTGCTTGGATCTTAACCTTTTAAAGTAGTTGCATTGCTCCCCAGTGCACCTTACTTTATTAGTCTACTCTGTCTAATGCTAGACAATTTTACTCGTCAAGTGGAAAAGTGCTGGTGCTCATGCAATAGGTTAAATTAAACACCCAGGTCACTAATCTGGTGCTCTACTATGCAGTTAAGCTAAATGTGATCAATGACAGGCCGCACTCAGATTTGTGTACTCTGCCCTGCATGGGGAAAGCCACATATATACGAATAAAAAATATTTAATACAAGTTTAGACCCAATCTATTCATGCAGAATCTTATATGTATATCCTATTACATATACTCATATTCTAGCACAGTCTAAATCTTGAAGATGCAATAAAACATGGAATAAATAAGTCAGCAGCAGGTATAAATAATCATGTATACTATGCAAATGTTCATGGTTTTGTTGGCCTTCAGAACATTTTGTTGGCCTTGAAGAACATTTCTGACATTTCATGGGGTTGTAAATCAATATTTGAATAACAGTTTCTATAATTTACTTTACATCTTATGACCAGCAATAATTCCCATAAGCAGCAAACTTGATATGGAACAATTTTACTGTGAGTTTTCAAGTAGACTAGCCTTACTACCATTTTCGAGCTTCCGTGAAGCGTGCATTTATAACTAGGTTTTAAAACGTTTCTTCAGCATGAGTTTGTCATTCGAAACTTTTTATTTCGCTCCTAAAACATTTTGTTTTGACATAATAACTTCTGTGGGCGTGGTATAAAACATATTGTTTTGCACGCGAAACTTTGAATTTCGGCGTCAAAACTCAAAAGGGCACTTGTATTACAGAGGTTTGTTACGTAAACATATCCAGAAGGTGCTATAAATCTGTTATTTCGCTTTCTATAGCAATTTTGTCAGTATAAAGTCAGTCCGTGTGAAAAATAAGAAGAAATTTTCGCGTGCAAAACAATGTGCTTGACACCACGCCCACAAAAGTTATTATTGCAAAATAAAAAGTTATGATTGACAAACTCATGCTGAAGAAACGTTTTGAAACGTAGTTATAAATGCACGCTTCACGGAAGCTCGAAAATGGTAGTATTGGTGCAAAAAAGCGTTTTAATTGCTTTAAGAAGAATAAATCGTGATGGTTGTTCACTTAATCACTTGTTTGGTCTTCTATACTATAGGCCATTAGCCTTAAACAAACTCAAAAAATATACACAGAGAACACCTACCTTATTGCTTTTCTCTCCCAAATAAATAATTTAAACTTTTATTTCTCATTCCTTAGCGATTTTACTGGTAAATAAACTGAAAATCACTCTGACTAGCCATTTTTAAAACCATGTGACTGTGTTTGTTTCAGATTTAAACTCCACTATCTCTCTACTGCTTCCTCTCACAAGCTTACGACGCATCTGATTGGTTAATCGGGTAGACTAAATGCATCTGATAGGTCAATAATAACAGTAGCCGTAGTAGAAGTCAAAATCTGAAACCTCTCTACTGTTATCTCAGTTAACCGAAATTCGGTTCTTCGTTTTTTAGGAACATAAATTTCAGCCTATAAGTTCTTAATCTTTTGGGGCCAATTGTATATGAAAGCTGGATAGCTCTATCTGTAGCTTTTTAAAATTGTGTTTTAATTGATTAGTTAAACCCAGATTAAAATTTAACCCGCAGGGTAATTGGTAGTGATGTCATTTTTGGAAAAAAAAAAGTTGTCGAGAATTTTCAGAAGCTATTTGGAAACAATTCTGAACTGAAATATTAAGGTGTATGTACTTTATAGGCCTGTGTAACATGAGTCACGTAACATGAATCACGTAACATGAGTCACGTGTATTATGTAGCAATCCAAACTATTGTAACCCAAAATATAAAATTTGTTTGTGTTGGTAGTTTGCCTAACATAACTCTCATGTGCTTTCAACCTCGTTTGGTCCGAGCTTTATTATACTGATAAATTACAGTTTCTTTTCGTTAATGATTGCGAGGCTTTAGCTATGAAAATAAGTATCCTGTAGACAACCCCTTCCTATATTTAATAATAATAATAAAATCTTCATTTTTACTGATAAAAAAGACCGTTCAGTCAATTACATGGATTGGCTGGTATCAATCGGTGATCACTGTATAGCAAGTATAGCTATATACAATAACGTAACATAAGTGCGTAACAGTGCACAAATAAGGCTATATAATGTAACTGTCTATAATTATAAACTACAATTGTGCGTATAACAGCATCCATGTTTATTAAGTATTTAAACACTTCATTATTGAACCGCACAAGTGTTTTAGTTCTCGTATCTCTTTCGGTAGAGAATTCCAATCTATGGCAGTCGAGAATCTGAACGAGGTCTCGCCACATCTATAGTTCTTACTGGCGGTATAAATTTAGTAATGTTGGGCCTCTAAGAGATCGACAGTGCATTTCTGATCGTCTTACTAGATAGCCTATCAACTTCTTCGGGTAATTTACGTTGTTTATGATCTTATAAACGTATTGCAACCTTATAAGACGACGTCTTCCGTACAGTGACAAAAGATGTAATTTAGCACGCATCTCCTAAATACATGTCTTACTGTTCGCGTGTAACCGAACCGACCTGCCCGCGTAGATCAGTAATAGATTAGGAAATGAATAGATGGCTCACTCCTATTTTTATAATTCTGATTTATTTTTCCATTAACCCCCCGAAAGCGAAAAAATACAGGATTTAATAGCACGGATGTCAATTTCGCGATCCATTTTATTATAGTTCTTGCTAGGCCGCCATTACTCTGGCAAGAACATGCGTGGGTGGCGGCGGCGTCAAAAACATGAAAGGAGTGAGCCATCTATTCATTTCCTAATCTATGTGGATCAGTTGGCAGAGCATTGGGCTGGTATTCCAAAGGTCGTAGGTTCGATTCCCACCGTGGCCAGGCATATTTTTCAAGGCTGCCCGGTGTGGATATACACTCAGAGTAACATCACAAGCATCTTATTCACCTGAGTACATTACACCAAGACAGCAAATATCACTATCCGCATTGTTTAATTAAACCAGAATTATTTGTGTTGTTCCTCTAGCCAACAGGACAATATGGCAACTCCTGGGTAGCTCAAGTGACTGGTTCATCTGATATGGAACTAACCCCAATACAAGAATGCAACACGACATGTGCTAGCTTCAACGTGACGTTGAATAAAGGAGAAGTCAGTAAGTAGCAACGATGCTTAAATCTGTGAAAAAAAAAATGAAAAAAATATGTAGCAACGGTGGAATGAACCTTAAGCAATTAAATATTTCATCGATGACTTCTGGTCAATTTCCATTTTAATGTCCACATGACGCAAAACTGTTTGTCTAAACTCTTAAAATTGTAGAATAACTTCTTTCAGAGATATTTATTTGTTTCGTTGCGATACTTAATTTTCTCAGAAAAAAACAATGCATGCAACCAGACATGAATAATGAGTTTTCAGTGAATGGTTTATGTTTATTTAACAAAGAGATACTGTATATACGTATAGTGTCATTATGACGTAAAGTTTGTTGCACTGGTCAATAATAAGCGCTTTTGTCATTCGAATCTCAGTCTAAATAGGTCCTGCAATCCCTAACCGGAATCCCTTGAAACCTCAGTTTAAATACAATTCCAAACCGCATTCCCTTACAACCTCAGTCTAAATACAATCCCTAACCGGCATCCCTTCCAACCTCGGTATAAATACAATCCCCAACCGCAGTCCCTTGCAACATCAGTATAAACACAATCCCTAACCGCAGTCCCTTGCAAACTCAGTATAAATATACAATCCCTAACCGCATTCCCTTGCAAACTCAGTTTAAATACAATCCCTAACAGCAATCCCTTGCAACCTCAGTTTGAATACAGTGCTAACCACACGCAATCCCTTGCAACCTCAGTTTAAATACAATCCCTAACCGCAATCCCTTGCAACCTCAGTTTAAATACAATTCCTAACCGCAATCCCTTGCAACCTCAGTTTAAATACACTCCCTAAACCGCAATCATTTGCAACCTCAGTTTAAATACAATCCCTAACAGCAATCCCTTGCAACCTCTGTTTAAATACAATCCCTAACAGCATTCTCTTGTGATACAATCCCTATCCGCAATCTCTTGACACCTCAGTTTAAATACACTCCTATAAACACGCCCAGTCCCTTGCAACCTCAGTTTAAATACAATCCCTAACCGTCACCCTTCCTGCCTCAGTTCAATTACAGTCCTAACCGCAATCCCTTGCAACGTATACTCCTGAAATGCAACTATGCTACTGTTTACTGCACGACTGAAAGACATGTTAATTAACTTAAATGATTTCGGTAGTAGTACGAAAATGTGTATATAGTTACTTGGTTGTGATCAACCGTTGGCAAAATTCTTCAATTTTCTCGTTTTGTTGACAAAATAAGTTAATATGCTAACGAAAAAGTATCAATTTGTTATTGCATCTCAATTTTTTTATTCTCTAATTGGTCTCACTATTCATTCTAATTGCTCTCACTCTATCATTCTCTCTTATCATTCTCTTCAATGTTTACATTTAATTCGAGGACTCGGCTTTTCTATAAAGCCTGCATGTGTAAATAATTGTTGTTTGAATTGGAATGACCGTAGCTACTTCTGACAAATGTATCTGTACCACGTTGGCCAATGACGTCACCTCAAAGATATACAGCTAATTCAAAAAAGGTTGTCCTTTTCAAATCTTAAAGTGCCTATGCGACAATTTTTTTAATGATTGAATTGCAAAGTTCATTTAAAATCATAATATAAGTTGTTTTCTAAAACATTGCATTATTTCCTGTATGTCAAGATTTTCGACTTTGTTTGATATACAAATGTGACTTAAATGACGTCACACTTCATAATGAGTTTTTAGAAAGAAAACGTTTCCTTGCCAAACATGTGATAATTCCATTGACATTGAAAGTGATATACTTTAAGAGTTATCAAAGCGATCATTTCACCTGTAAATTTCAGATAATGAGAATTTTAACAAGCTACAACACAGTCTTCTGTAAAACGCATTATCCAGTGTGACGTCATTTAAGTCACATTTGTATATACAAACAAAGTCGAAAATCTTGACATACAGGAAAGAATACAAAGTTTCAGAAAACAAGTTATATTATGATTTTAATTAAATGAACTTTGCAATTCAATCATAAAAAAATGTCGCATAGGCACTTTAAACTTTAAACCTTAAACCTTACACTCTAAGCGTGCAAACATATAATGGAAGCATAATTTAAACAGTTTAGAAATCATATATGGGGCCATGCATTTCTTCCAGACATGGTAAATATCTCCTTTCGAGAACAATTTATTCACAAATTAATAGCTGCAATATTCAACTACTAAGCTTGAAACTTTTGCTCCCATTAAGATTTACTCACTAAAAGTTTAAGGTTTAGAGTTTACTGAAGGTTTGCAAAGGCCAACCTTTTTCGAATTGGCTGTATTCATTAGAGAGCTTACGCTTCACGACGCTGCCAGAGAAGACGCGTTAGAAAGGTTTGGTAACTAGCGCGGCCCAAGCCACGTTGTCTTATTCTGTTCCCTACGTTACGAAACACAACGCGCTATAGCCTAAAACGTTTATTTTCGCGTGAGAATCATAGGTTTTTCAAAATCTTTGTAATTTCTGGTTTTGAAAGAGCGAATTTAAATGGAAACTGTAATCAAAGGTACTATACTTGATCAAAAATAAAAAGTTAAGAACTTAAATCCGCGTTTTCAATGTAAAAGTATTCGACAGAGTGTAGTCATCACAATGTGAAATCAGGGCGCTATAAAACACGGGCGGGGAAACGCGCTAATAAATGACCGTGCTACGTGTGATGCACAGTAGGATTGGCGCGAGCGCGCTTTCTTTAAAAAAATAAAAAAATCGCGTGCAAGATAGCAACAAAAAATGTAAACAAGCAAACGAGAAAACAAAGGATTTAAATGCTTACAGTAGTAATTATGTTTCGTTAATTAAAATTTGAAATATTATTTAATAAGTTATATTACATGTAATAGTTTGTGTTACTGAACACTCGCTGAAAGAAAATATCAGGGCAAATTTAAAATTTCACTCGTGCGATGAAGGCCCCTAAAGGCCCCTCGGATTGCATCGGAGCGGAGCGATTTTCATACCGGATTCGGCTGCTGTTTACACTATGCCACAGTAATCCGGTACGCGACGCGGAGCAAAAATCACTCCGCTTTGGAGGTGATATGAAAAGTAATCCGGTATGTGCCGGAGCAGTGTAAACAGGCTAATCCGGTACGCTTCGGTACAAAATCTGTTTTGGCGTGTATGTTTTAACATTGTCGCCTTTATTTGCTCGCTTTTACAATACTTTATAGCTGTTGTTTGTTTCGCCTTACAACCATTTACTATTTCTGCCGAATACAAATAAAGAAAACGATAATAAAATTGACTTTTCGCTTTCGAAAGAGCAAAATTTAAAGAAATACTCGTCAATTTTGGATTAGAGCGAAACGAAGCAACGTCTGGTGGTCAAGCTTTTTAAACAAAGTTATACTTTACAAAGAGTCAAAGGAAACGGGTGTTACTTCTTGTTATTAATAAATTTTGGTATGTTGGCTACTTGTTTCCATAGCAACAGTGAAAGACATGAGCTGGCATGGCAACAGAGCGAAGCGGCATAGTGTAAACACCCTTGTTTTTTACTTCGGAGTAAAAATTAATCCGGTATGAATAGTAATCCGGTATAGTGTAAACGGGGCCGAAAATATTTGCAAAATTTAAAGCGCGGACGTACTATTTTTAAATAGTGTTTTCTCCTCAAAACAAAAAAAAACAACAAAAAAACCCCCAAAAAACCAGTGTTTTCTCCTCGGTGAGATAGTTTGAGATAAATTTGAACACACCAAACTATAGACATTTAACTTGGCTTATAACGTCTCACGTAAAATTGAACGGTGCTTTTTTGTGCTTTTTTCATAAAACGGAGGTATCTTCCAGCCTTTATAGTTTTCCGTATACACTGTCACTGCAATGTCAACGACTGCGGTCGCACGAAAAAAGATTCACGCTGACTATTTTTGGAGTGTCGGTGGCAGTTACAACAGCACCAATGATATAGAAATAAAATCAATTGAAAAACACTTTACAATGAACTTTCAATGGATTCCAAGCAGGCCGCCTGATTAACACAAAAACGGTTGCTGTATATATTTAAGTTTTCAAATTGTAGTTGGTTTTTTTTTCAAATTGTAGTTGTTTTAAATGCATGTATGGTCAGTTTCGGGCTATATGATTATTGAAAAATAGTAGCCAAGCAATGTCATAATATTCTCACTGCGAAAATGTTTATCCTACCTTCGAATTATGAAGTAAGATATCCCATTTCATAGCAAATTTTTCGTGTTTGGAATATGCCCGCATTCGATCAGTTCGATTCCTTTTCACATTTTTATTCCGCTCATGATGAATCAAAGCCCTTTTTCCTTCATCAGATATACAGAAAATAATCCAACAATGTCTTCAAACCATCAAGTTGTTTAGGAATGCAGAAAACATTTTTTACTTTAGTTTTTTCAGCTCTTTTTTGCATAAACTTTCCAATTCCATTTTTATTTACATTATAAATTAATGTATATATACCGGGGGTACTCGCATCAAACAAAGATCAGGGGCCCTATCTCCGTTTCACCGCCCGTGTTTTACAGCGCTCTGGTGAAATTGGCAAAATTCCGTCGTAGAATCGTCGACTACGCGGTAGAATTACACAGGACGTGTGGGCCGCGCTAGTTACCAAGCCTTTCTTTCGCGTCTTCTCCAGCCGCGTCGTGAATCGTAAACTCACCGATAAGGTTTAAAACTGTAGTCTTTACTCTATATAATGAAGTATGAAATAATTTCTTGCAGTGTATCTGAATCAAGATATTTGGTATGCTGATATCGTTGGTAATCAGGGAGATGAACCAGGTGTCGTTTTACTCTCCAGTTTTGCCTGACGTCTGAATGCACTAAATCATGTCACTTGCTGGTAACTGTGTAGTCGCAGATCGTTTGTGTAACGTCTTTAATAGAAGAAAAGAAAATATCAATTTTATATTTGTTGTAGTTTCGTTTTGTTTTGTTTCCAATTTGATTGGTTGTACAGGCAAAACAACCATGCTACACCATGGTTGACCATATGTACGTGTAAGAAAAACAACAACATGAACGAACAGCATTTTTGTGATTTTTTATACAAATAAATACCTTTTGACATTTGTATCGGAACTTCAGTAGGTAAACGAGATTTCTAATATGTTTATGCTTTATGATATTTTAAATCGTTTTCACTACTTTTTTTTAAACGGAACGTTGTTTTGTGGAACAAGTCATTGTTTGTCGAAAGAGTTAATGAAAATGCAAGGTATAATAAAACAATTATTAAATGCCTATATCATGGTTTTGAAGTTTGCATATCTCGAAAGTTTAGGGTATTTTAAGACACTTTGCAATATATTTTGTTTATATATTGAAAGATTTCATCTTGATGGATTTATTAGCTCTTAAAGTTACCGGACATGACGTCAAAAGGAGAAGTGTAAATCAGTTTTCCTTTGTATCATTGCAACAAATTTCTCCTTTTGACGTCATGTCCGGTAACTTTAAGAGCTAATAAATCCATCAAGATGAAATTTTTCAATAACAAAATATTTTGCAAAGTGTCTTAAAATATCCTAAACTTTCGAGATATGCAATCTCCAAAACCATGATATAGGCACTTTAAATTCGGTTGTTGTGATATCGTATGGTTGTTTTGCTTGTAGACAATGTTACCTCTGTGGTGTTACTGTCAAGGTCAGAAATGATCAGTAATGAAATGAAAGGTTTATGGTAAACAACACCTTCAGCGTTCTGTTCATAGATATCTTATATACACTAGATAGTGCTTCTAATTATTCTGCAATTCAAAAATTGAAGCCGTGATTGCAGACTCAGGATATTCCCATGAAATGAGAAGATTCGTATATGTTTTCTATTTCTTAAACAGGGAACTTCAACGTTAAGTTAAACCTATTCCAAATACATTTTTAAACTATTCAAATGATGAAAGTTATTGTTGTTTTTACGCGTTTATTACCGAGTGGGAACTACCAACATGGCCGCCATCTATTCAAATGGGGGTAACCGCTGGAATATTCTTGGTTTCAATTTTACTAAAAGAGATGCGCTATCTAGTGTATATAAAATATCTATGGTTCTGTTATCCCTTAAATGTGTGATATATCACCAAAACAACTACAGTACATTGCACTCGTAACTTGTGTGAGTCGCTCCTCGACAACAAAACTATAACAATTATGGTAAAATAATGTCTAGTAACCCCAGAAATGGGTACTAAACAATATTTTAATACTCGTATTCAACACTTTGTATCACTTTAATTCCCCCTTTCGTTGAAACCGCCATGTCTACTTCTGCTTGAAATTACGTCATACTTGTAGACATTACGAATTATCTGCAGTTGGCCAACAGCCAATCAAAATAAAGTATTCCTTGATATTTCATGAAACACCTATTGGATGTCCAGAATTGTCGAGGTAAGTTTTATTGGTCGAGCCGAAAGCGAGGCTCATAACACTTACTGAGACCTTGATAATTCGATATGACAAAACCGAATTCAATAATTGTTTTATTATATCTTGCATTTTCATTAACTCTTTCGACAAACAATGATTTGTCGCACTAAACAACTTTCCCTTTAAAAAAAAAAGCAGTGAAAACGAATATCAAAATAAAGCATAAAAATATTAGAAATCTCATTTACCTACCAAAGGTCTGACAAAAATGTCAAAAGGGTATGCTTTTTGTACAAAAAAATCACAAAAATGCTGTTCGTTCATGTTGTTTTTCTTTGTTTTTTTTTTATTCCTATATTTACTTAAAACTGCCGCTTGCCGTATAAAATTACATATCGGCTGGCAGAGATCTGACTTACGTGCAGGTTGGGTGTTTCCTGTAGTGTATATGACATGTTCAAAATGGTTGAATATCACTGCTATCATGCAAGATGATAATTTCAAACTTCACTCAATGGTAAATGTGATGAAACACTGGAGAAAAACGTGAATTGATATCTACAGTTTCTAGAGTTAATAGATTTATACCCAGTGTAAATTGAGCTTCCAACCAATGTGACGTCATAAATTAGCGGACATATTCACGTGTTTGAATACCGTTCGAGCCAACAAATTTGTCGTTGTTTTCTGCAGTGTCAATATGAAACTGCCGTTTGTTTTTGGTTTCCCCTTCCCATGCTCTCCCCTTTTTCTCATTCCATTTCCCCATTGTGCCGTTAAGTAGCAAGCTGATTGAAAGAAAGGCCTGGATAAGGCGAAAGAAAATCGTAAACGAATGATTGGTTTAACATGTTATGTTAATGAAAAATTTAATCCCACTCACCTTACGTCTGCATCATGAAGGGCATCTACTGAAGTATTTCATCTTTTCTAGATTGATAAACCTAAACCATGGTGGTTTACTCTATTTACCGAATTCTATCCTAATCACCAGGATCACTGAGACTTGGTGGATAGGGCCAACATGAGTGGGATGGGTAGCCCCAATTTGAGAGGAATTCATATTCAGCAAATTTTCTCCCAGTACCGCAGGCTCACATTTTCAGCGGACGTGCGGTGAAAAATTGAACGTTTTGCATTTTCAACAAAACTGGCCACTTTCTGTAAGATATCCGCCGACAATAGGAGCCCGCACGAGTGTGATAAATTTGGCTATATTTGACCAACGTGGCAAACCGAACGTTTGGTTTTAATCCGCATGATATCTCTCAGCGTTTCTCTTAATGATTCTGAACCCAAAGGTGATGAATTTAATATATATATGGTTTCGATATGCCGTCAAAAACCGTTATGGCGACGATTGACAACAACACTTGTCTATTATTTTTTCTTGAAGAAATTTTACAAAAACAACTATATTTTAATCTACAAACAGTATATTATACTAGAACTAAATAAATTCAAAGTATCTGATTATAATGTAAACAATTGTTCAGTTCTCTTTGCGCTCATGATAAGTTCGTTTCGCTAATTTGATCAAAGTCAGACAAAGCATCAGGACGAGTTATTCGTTACAAGGAATATGTCCCCCAGTTTAGAACCACACGATCGACACGATAACTGTGGTACTGCTAGTTCGAGAGGTTGTTCTTGCCAAATATTTTAGTCTCCAAGATTTACGAAATGCACAAACTCACAAGTATATATGTCTCCAAGGGTTAATATAATGTAACCGTTCGTTCACTGCTTTATATGGACGAACTCCAAATCCTTTTCCTCCTGATCGTAAGTAAGACGAAGTCAAGCAATCGTTCAAGATCTTCAATGGCAACTCACCAGACTTATATTAGCACTAGGTTGAATGCACTTTCTGGCGTTTCTCAATTTTCTTTCTCAATACAGAATTTCCTGTTAGTTTTAATCACTACACCTTCTTTACCACAATTTCGTAACCTAGTTCATGGTGGTTAGTCAACCGACCATTTGTAATATTCATTTGTACCTTCATTCACTACCATTTTAATTTATGCACGGTCTAACGACTTATGCATCGTCTTTCGAGATTGTCATCATTGATGGTATTTCTTGTGGCTTTAATACAATGGTTTTAAGTAATCCTTTATATTGTTTGCATGTCTTTAACAAATCATCGATTAGTCCAAATATATATCAACTGCAACCAGGAACGGTTCGTAAAGCGTATACAACCTAACTTTGCCAAGTGAACCACTCACGGTCTTTCGATGCAATGTACGTACATTGTTTCTCAGTTTCTTTTGACATATCGTGCAACTGCAACGTATTCAAACAACCATGCTGTATATTGTTGGTATTCGACCTTTATCATCGACCTGCATATCAACTGCAACTAGCTTGTGAAGTCTGAAGAGTGTCATAAGTCATTACCATTAAAAATTCGTAAATCAGTCACATGATCAGGAATTTTCAAATCCAACTGAATCACAAACAACTTATATACGAGATGGTCATAATAATTTTGTGTGCTTTTTAAGAACAATGTTTTCAGGTGGAATCCATATAATCTTCCCGCTAGAATGCAGTCTTGAAAGCTTCGTCGGACTTCTCCATGAACTTTTGCCCATACTGGCAAAGTTATTACACTATTTTTTTTTATCAAATTTCAATAAACAAGTTCGGTGTTACTACTTTCCATCCAACTGACTAGTCTTTTTAAAAACTAAAACATATTTTCCACATGTCGTAGCGAAACATAGCGGCTTTTTCGTGTATTCCTGCGTACTGGTGTCAATTAAATAAAGTTTTTTTTCTTTTTTCTGGAAAATAAGTCACTAAAGAAATTAAAAATATGAATACGTGCGCAGTCTTAGCTACATGTTATGTGATTCAATTTTTACCCAACTCAGAACGCGTCTTTTGGATAGGCAGTTAAAACTTCGAACTGGTTTATTGGATTATATAGACCAAAGTGTTTTTAACTTTTGCCATGGTCATTAATCCATTGTTATAATAATAATAATGCATGGTGTACAAAAAGCATCATTGTCAATATTGGCGCTCTTCGCTAATGTTCTACATGTTTTACTTTTTACGATAATGGTGAGCAATTTCACAAAGTTCAATATAATTTTTCATCAATTTTAGTTAAGAAGAGTGGGAGAATATTCACGATGAAACGCGAAGCGTTGAGGTGAATATACTTGCACTATTGACCGACACTTATAGGCCGGTGAATAATTGGTGGCATATACCACAACAAAACAAAGGTCATAGGCGTATACGGTGAGGGGGCAGGGGGGAGTTGCTCACCCAAGTTAAAAATTAATTCGGGCAAATTACAAAAGTAATTCGGGCAAAAATTGGTAAGAAATATGTAAAAGTAACGTTGAAAACCTCCCCCCCCCCCCGTCGACAACAATTTTGAAAATCTAAACGGAAATTTTTTTTAGTAAGTCGGGCACAATGTGGGAATAATCGGGCCAATTTTCATTCTGCCCCTCCCCACTGATTTTTTTCCTACCGTACGCCTATGACTAAGATGACAAAAAAACAAGGAAAATGTTTTTAATACAACTTGATATTTCAGTTCCCGTCTAATAGTTATAAACAAGGTTGCAAATGAAATAGTATTTACATGCAAGCATTTAGTAATTTTGTTCATTAGCAATAGTTTTAAGAATACTCATGCACACGGTTAAACAAAACTTTGTGGTTTTCTTTGCATTTTGCGAAACGGCAGCTTCGTTTCGTACAAACATTTGCTCATCTGTAAGCGGAACGAAACGCGAAGCCATTTTGTCTTTGTTTGGAGGTGAATAGTACAAGAATATCCGGAGCTGAACAAACAAACAATTAGATTGCTTGAAAAGTACTATCGACCTCCCGAATAAATAGCATGATTTCAGTTATATTTCTCAGTTATATTTTTGTGAAGGAACGAAGCAGTCTTGTACAGTGTACGTGATGTGCAACCACTCCCATCGGATTCAAAAGACAAAGAGATTTTCGCCATGCTGGATGATATTTGCATTGCAAACATGCAAAATCTTTTGTCAATGTCATCCAGTATGGCGACGGTGACGTAATTATAACGTGCACACCTCCCATACGAAAAGAGTCCTAATTACAACAGCAATGACGATGGTTCAGTTCAATATTGCCCACTGTTAAACAGAACAAGTAGTATTCTCTGCAATTTCCCTACGAAATTTTTATCGCATGTTAAATAATATGTGAAATTTCTGAAATATAAAAAGAAAAAGCATAATTCATAAAGAAACGTAATTTTTAGTTTGATTTATTTTTTTATTTTTGCATCGACTCTAAAATTTGGTGAAAGTTTGATAAATCGTATTCAGCGCTCACCAAGCGATGTTAGACGTTTACAGTTTCAATGTTTATGTAAAGTTTTAATGCTTTTATTAATAATATATACTTTTATTTTTCCTAGGCCAAAACTCAAGGAAACTGTTTCATCCAGGAAGAATCATCAGGTGGCTTACCTGCATCCTAGAGGATGTAGTGGCAACCTGTTGAGGTGAAAACTACATTATATACTCTATATCTATATGATATCGAGCATTTAGCATTTCGTGAACCAATATATATCCTCGAATGAAATGTCCCTGAATGAGTGATTCCAAAACACGCAACTCGAGAACATTTCATCCTATCATATTACCGAGTGAACAATCAATATCACAACATCGCATGAAACCTCAGAAGCAGGACTACTGCGAGATGGAAGCGGAAGTTTATCTTTGTTTGAAATAAAAAATAAAATTCTCGTAGTTTCATAATTATTAGAATCAATTTGACGGGTTCAGAAAGCGATCTCTGTAATTTTAAAAGTGCTCGATTTTATAATTTGTCACCAAGGTTACCAAGATAAAGCATTCTAATCCAAACTTTTGGCATATTGTCTTCAATTTGAGATTTGTTGGTATTACGCGTAGAATAACTGACATATTGATTTTAAGTTTGTTGTTATAAAAAGATTTCCAAGATTGTTGGGATGAACAAGTAAAAAGGATTTGATCGTTTTAACTTGTTTTCTCGAAATACTCTTTTGTCCTACAAAAGTGACCTATATATGCATGCGGTTATACGAGATTTAACCAATGCAGTTATACGAGATTATAGATTAAAAACTAGTGTGTTTCCTGAGAAAAGTGGATGTATTTACGGTAAATATTAGTGCCATCAACCGACATTTTGCTATGATACCTAAAAGTGAACAATACACAATCACACCATTTGTTAACTGTATAATTCACCATGCATACACGAGGTTTAACATGGGGGTTTTCAACTTCTTCGTCTTGAGTTCCGCAGACGGGGTATTCTTTCCAAGGAATCGCAAGCTCAGGATATAGCTATAAACATGCATTCAAATACAAACCAGTATTTATAAATATAACAGGCGTTTGATACCAACATCATTTGAGATATTTTTCGTTTGGAAATATTTGTATATACATCACAAGTACATATTATTAAGTCATAGTGTATTGTCGTACCACATTTTTGCTTTAATTTGATAGATTTATTAATGTTTTGACGAATTTTTGAACTGGAAAAACAACAAATGTCAAATATACATCTATCGTATACCGAATTACATGATAGAACAACTGGAAACTACCGAACTGTAAATTTCGGCGGCTTGAAAACTGTACATGTCGATAAGAGAATCTGTACCACCTTCAGCATCTATTGAGCAAGAACATTGTAATTCATTCACATCCTTACGTTCGTGTGGTAACCAAAGTTTAATTAGCTTAAATTCTTTGTCTTTGACATAGTTTGTGGAATAAACAATAATCGCTCCTGTTTTACGACTTACAGAAAAAATCCATGGAATATCACTCAAACCCACATTGATGCAAGTTAGAACATCACAAGTTTTAATGCTAATTAAACACAAACAACTTTTAAATCTTTTACAAAGAAGTAGTTCATTGTCAAGGAAATGCAATTGCATTTGACTAACCGGGGAGTAGAGAGAAAATTCGCAAATAATTTTTAGTGTAGAAGTGTCCAAGATGTACAACCTATTTTCTCTCTTGCCACTTGTAGCAAACGCCAATAACTGCCCATTAGGAGAGAAACAAGCAGAGGTTATGAGCCCTAAAAGGGGTAGTGGCTGGAAATTGTTCTCACCTTGTAACAACAGCGTACCCTTGTTATTCTTCATTAACACATGATATTGACTGCTGCAGGCAATCACTTCCACTTTAGATTCGAAGGGATATGGCACTGACCTAGAACGGTGTTTAGTTAACGGTATACTTGTCACAATTTCATTTGTGCGAACATTAAGAAAACACACCTGTGACTTCAAAACGCAAGCTATTACATCTTCCCCAACTGAGAGACACTTAGAAGTTCCAGTCAGTTCAGGAAAGCTGAAAAGACGCTCCGTCACTTCAGAATTCCACAACTCGGGAGTACTTTCTACAAGCTCACTATCATACCCGATATGTTCGCTTACCTCTCCACAAAAGAAGATACCATCTGTTACTGGAAGAAAGGGTGTAAAAGCATGCTTAAACTGACACACGTTTTGGTATTTTACACACTGACTGCAGCTAAGCATCCAGATGTCGAAACTACCGTATGGGACACCTAAAGTATTGTGTTGGCTGCTTTTGTAAATATATTTTCCATCCACCGAAATAGAACACCTTGAAAATGAATCTACACCTGATTTTTGCATTAACGTGAAATCCTGGATAAGGTCAGTAACACTAAGCATATTTAGGTCATGTTGGTAACACCAATAAGCTACAGCGACTCCATTTCTGAGAACGAAAATGTTAAGATACGTTTTTGTGTGAAACCGCCGCGGATCATCACTTTCGATAAACGCTTGAAATTCAGCGGCAGCCCTTGCGTTCTTTGGCAATAACTTGTATCGCTTGGAAACAGGTTTTCTTGTTAGATCATATTTCACAATCTCTCCGCTACAGTACCAGGAATCTGAATTATACGGTGAAATAAGGAAAGGAGGATCATCAAGAACATCATAAATCCGCGATGTCATGCAGTAACTATTTTCGGTGTCATAAATACAAAGTTCGTCAACATTTGTGGTTGCTAAGAATCTGTCATTAGCCGAGAACAAAATAGAGTATAATTTAGACCGACATAAAAGACGTGTTATTTTGTTATTATCAAGTAGATTCCAAACTGTTAAATAGTTACCGTAATTTGTCGCCATTTTGCTTTTATCATGAGAATAACTGCAATTTGTAAACTTACAATTTGTTTCTTCGACTGTAAGCGGCCCAGGTTCAAATTTTCCCTCTAAATTAAGTACACGGTCAAGCTGTCCTGGAAAAATTACATTTTTAAAGGGATGAAAAACAATAGAGGGCGGTGTTCCGTAATATATTCCTGCCAGATCAGCCGGTGGATGATAAATCATCTCTACAACAAATTCATCAATTTTCCAGAGAGATTTAAAGTTGAAGAGAGAAAACAACTCAACTCCCTCGCTATATGCACAAATAAGAAAATCTTCTGACGGTGAAATGTCAACATCTAAAACTCTGTCTTTAGTGAAAATACGACCTATCAATGCACTTTTAATATTTTCTTCATCGTCTACAGAGTTGAAATACGCAAGCCCTCTGTAGCGTGTCATTAGCAAGACAGTTGCTTCGGATGAAAGTTTTTCATGCTTTTCGTCTACAACATGCTGGAAAAATGAATGCGGAATATCTTTTAAAATGTATATAAACTTTCGTATGATACTTATGAGCGTTTTAATTTTTCCCAATACGTTTTCATTGAAATTGTGGCACATATTCGTATGGTTTTCTAGATTGGCAAGATTGTTTAATGTTATGTAAACATCAATACAAATACACGCATGCACAATTTCCAAGTCAGTAACGCAGTCTAGCAATTTTGATTGAGATTGCATGTCTTGTATTTCGGCCTGTATCATATGTGGTATTCCGTACTGCAATGAATATTTGACTGCAAAATCATCATATGTGAATCTTACTTCATTTGTCTTCAATGTGTTCATTTGATAAGCGCAAATATCAGCGAGAATTTTATGCCCATATTTTTCGTTGATTGTAAAACGATGATTAGTCTTTACTAGCCAGTCCTTTACTGATTTGTGGAAAAATGACACACAATTCTCTTTGATGACAAGGAGCGAAGAGATGCAACTGACTAATTTCGGTAACAACTTTTTTCCACTTAGTAAATCTTTTTCAGACGTAAGCAATCTTTCAATAAGTGTTAGTGGAAGGGGTTGTTTTGCAACTGCTATTACAGTTAAGAGTGACATAAATTTGGCCTCGTCAATGCTTAAGATTTTAAGTTCGTTTTCGAGGCGAATGAAATATGATTTGTAGATGTCTTCAATACTTTGAGGTAAAGTTTCAATCTTTGTTTTGATGGAGCTGTCTTCAAAAAGTTTACAAAGAAAGGATGCATAAAGCATCAAACCTTCAGATTTCTCAACTAATTTCTTGACAAGTTTTTCTCGAGGTACATGCTCCATTGTAGTTTTTAATGTATTGTCAAAAAAAAGTTGAAGATCATTTAAATTTCGTTCATCATCAGACTTTAGAAACAATGGGTTTAATTCACGAAGTCCACCGGCGATATTTTCTTCCGATCGTGTCGTTATTAAAAATCGAATAAACCTGGGAAAATTGTGGAAATGTTTGGTAATTAAATCAACAAGATTGTGCTTTTCGTCTTGCCGGCATTCATCTAGCGCATCTATTACAATTAAGAAATGCTTACCTGGATCGGGAATGTTTGTAAATGGTTCTTCAAACAGCATTGAGAACAACCCTTCAATATTCTCATTGCCCAATATTTTTCCTTTATTACCAGAAAGTTTGACAACAAGGTTTCGCCTGTATTCTGTAAAGACACTACACAACTGCCACGCCAAAGACTGAAGGAGAAACGTTGGATTATTGTACCTACTATTATCATATTTGAAGAAATGACATGCTCCAAATTGTTTCGGGAAACGTCTACATATAACCGCGGCGATAATAGATTTACCCATTCCAGCTTGTCCAGTAATAATGAATGCACGATTATCAGACAATTTGTCATTCAACCATGTCGATACCTGCTGAAAAACCCACTCACGAGTGCCTACAGTGTACTTTTCATGTAATAATTGTATTTCTTTCTTAAACTCACACCAATGAAGGCACTCACTAATAATATCATCTGTGTAAAATTTGCCTTGTTTTAGATTTTTTTCAAGCTCATTTAGTTTTGTCACAATTTCTCTCCCAATTTCACTCCATTCTTTTCTCACGCGATCTACTTCCTCCTCTCCACATTCTTCTGTCTTTAACCTATCTATTTCTGCTTGACCGAATCCCAAACGACGTAAAGCCGAACTAAGCTCAGCCCAATCAGCCTCGAAATCTGACTTACTAACAGCTGTTCTATGGACATGACCAAAACAATTATTACGAAATAATTTAATACGAACAATGTCAGCTTCACGAGAATTGTCAGCTGGGTGTGGCATAACATTCCACCCTGTACTAGGAGGGGATATGCCACAAATGTTTCGTAACAAAATAACAAGTAATGTTATGTCAAATTCCTTAATGTTTGGAATTTTAGGAGTGTGTGGATACAGTTTATCCCATTGTGGTTGCGTGATTATTTTCTTTTTAATTTTAAAAAGTCGTTGAAGTGTAGGATGATGAATAGACAAAATACTTTGCAAATTACCTGGGTGTATGTTCAAGAAGATATTTCTCAATGCCTCTGTTCCTCCATCAACAATCAATCTGATCAACTTAAAGCCATAGATCTTTTCTTCAGAACTCTCAAGAACTGATCGTGGCATGATCACCTGTGAATAATAAATTACGTATGAAAAAGGAAATGACGCATATTTGTCACACGGCGATATTTTAGTTTTGAATTATCTAGTATAGGAGAATATGTCTTAACTTTTCCTGTAGCTCATGATATTAAGTCATAAATATTCTTTTAATATTTCTTTTTATAATATATACTCATCCACCCCATATATAAGCTATTCTGCATTAGTATAAATTTTGCATATCAAATGAGCTTTCGCGCGTTCTGATTGGCTAGTTGACTAGTAAATCTGACGCATTATTTACCACCTCGCTAGTAAATGATGCTTTTCAAAAAGAAGGATTCGGAAAATTTGGTTTCAAATCGACGAAATATTGAAAAAATGGTCCCCAGAAAACGAAAAAAGCACCGAAATGTTGTATTTAACTTGAAAGGTTAGGACTTCTTCATTATTTTACTATGCATGTCAAACGTATTCACGGACAATTTAAAACTTATTTAAAACTCCGAAACATTCACTTCAAACAAATAGCAAAAACTATCCCGACTGTTGCCTGTTGGGCAAAACCTTGCCGTGATATTCTTTTAAAACCGGACCATTTTGTTTCGTATCCTATATAGGTACTGTATCTCAATTTGTACGATGCTATTTCGAACTTTTGATATGTCATGTGCTGTATGATGTCCTGCCGCTGTATTGTGTTTTCGAAACTTGGTGTAAAATGAAAATTGTATTAAAACTTTATTTCGAGGCATTCGAGCAATTGTTTTACATTCCACTTTGCCAATTTTCTCAGCCGTTTCCTGAACAAATTAATGCTAAACATGCAGAAACGGTTTTTTAAATCTGGTGAAAAATTCATCCGATTCAATTATGTTTATTTTCTAAGCAGAAATCGAGGAAAACAACTTTGTAATAAAGCAATAAAGTCACACAGGAAGCCATTTTGAAAGCGCGCGTGTACAAGAAACACTGCAACGCTAAAACAGTGACCCTAAAACCGGCCGAAAACAGTTTTATTTCTGAATTTTAATTAAACTGATATTTGGATATTTTGTTTTATTCAATAAAAATTTATACTAAAACAATTATTCGCCTCAGGCTCAGTGATTACGGTGAATATTCACCTCGACTTCGTCTCCGTGTATATTCACCGGTACTCACTTCGGCAAATAATTGTTAAATATGATGGGTTGAGGCTACTATATACGGCGAGTTAATTGCAAAAAAACAAGATCGCAGCAAAAAACTACAAGAGTTATGCAAAGCAGAAGAGAGGAAAACATTCACTTTTAAGAAAACTAATGGTACAAGAAAAAGCTCTCAAAATATTTTGATAGGTTAACTACATTGGCAATAAAAAATTAGTTTAGTTCATTTGAAATAACTGTTAAAACTCCATTACAGACTATTAATGAAAAAAAACGCTTTGTTTACATTTTGAACTCAGTGCTACAGTTGTAAAATATGATTAGATATATACTAGAAAATACATGCATGCAGAAACCCTCGCCTTGCTGACAAAACCATTGTATTTTCCGAACATGAAGTATCTAAAGTAGTTGTCATGGTAACATGATAATTTTATAAGAATATTCTTACAAATGAAAAATCGCCTAAAAATATCACTTTTAATTACAAAATTATCAATTTCCCAACATATATATATATATATATATAATATACTAGAAAATACATGCATGCAGAAACCCTCGCCTTGCTGACAAAACCATTGTATTTTCCGAACATGAAGTATCTAAAGTAGTTGTCATGGTAACATGATAATTTTATAAGAATATTCTTACAAATGAAAAATCGCCTAAAAATATCACTTTTAATTACAAAATTATCAATTTCCCAACATATATATATATATATATATATATATATATATATATATATATATATATATATATATATATATATATATGTTAGATATGTTATTATACGTAATATAAGCTTCCATTTAAGGTAAAATTCAACCACAAACGCTTCGCAAAACGTTTTTAAAGTGTTCTTTATAAAACTAAACTGCCTTTAATTAAATGGCTTTATCGATAAACTTTGAGCTTGCAATAAAAGAACATAAAATGATTTCAAATTCTCGCATGCAAATAACCTTGGTTTCTTTTTTTATTTAAAAAATTCACTATAATAATAAAGGGAATCAATATTAAAGATACACGGAAATTATATGCTGTCTTGTTTAGTTGTTTCATATACGCAAAGGTCATCGGGTTTTAAAGGCATTATAAAATCAATATTTCAAACAAACTTACCTCCGTTAACGTCGGCTTTTCCCTTCTTTTAGCCGATTCTTTCGCAGTTTCTTTCTGAGAGAGCTTTTGAAATTTACAAAATCTTGCAAAAATGCGAGCAAAAATGAAATATATTTGCAATAAATTTATCAGTCATCAAATCAAGAAATGTTTGCTATTTCGCTGTCGTCATGGAGTGGGTATAATGCAAACTTTAAATTGGACCAATCAGCGTCCGCTATTCATGACAGTCCGTCATATTTTTGAGATCAGTGAGGATGACCACACACCCAACACTCGAATACCGTTGGTGACCCACGCCCGCGATGATTGATGAACTTTAGACTTCGCTAATGCTTTCGTTTCCCCGGGTGTAAATAGCCGGGGGGAATTAGTACCCTCGCACGGCGCTTCGCGCCGTCGGCTCGGGGATTATACTAAATTTTTAACACTTTCTGGTTCGCTATGCTTCTAAATGAATACAGACTAGAGATTCAATTCAAGAAAGTTCAAAATATACGACATATTAATAACATTCCAACGGTCGGGTCCCAACCATTGGAATGTAAGCCTGCGCAGAACGTATGAGCAGAACGGACTTGACAGCCTCTTTAAGGAGAGAGACAACTGTATTTACAAATAACTTACATAATGCAAAAAAGTATGGGTTTTAAACCAAAGTTTTGTTTGACATTTTTTTGTCCCTTTAAACTTGAAATGGATGGAAATATGGAAGAAATTGAAATCAATCTTCATAATGTGAGTATCGAAAGTCAGTAGAGTGATTTTTATAAAGAAATGGAGGATATTTATAATTAGATAGGCCATATACATTTATATTCTCAATATTGTTCAGTGTAAATGGACAGAAGTGGATATTTTAAATTGGATTCACTCCAGGAGACTCAAGTACGCCTGAAAAGGGAAGTGGAAAACGTGATATGTTTTAATACCCTCGAAGGTTGATATCAAACCGAACTCCAAACGATTATATACGACGCCATATTGATGCATTAACTAGCAGAGGCTAATTCCTTTACTTCGCTCTTCCCATCACCCCTTTACCTCACTAGAAACTTCATGTAAGTCTCTGCGGAGGAGAGAGATATCTTGTTATTTCGATTGTACAATAAAGAATATACCGGAAGTTGATCATGCAAACAATATCAAATATAGCGATCTCTTTGTTGCCATATAACTTCGCACGTTTATAAGCAGTCACAAAAAGTTATGCATGGTGCTATTCATACGGTTACGGAAACTTATATGCATGTAAAACTTTATGAACAATTTTGCAAATTTTAACCCGCAATTTTCAATATAAATTCGCCAACATCTGGGCTACATTCTATATAGTAAAGACTATTATAATACAAGTTGTACAGTATTCTTTATGGCTCGTAACATATTGATAGCTTAGTTTGAGGGCTGTCGATCGAACAACACATTTTACGTTATAAGAAGAGAAATCAATTTCGTCATTTTATTAGCTGACGAGGAAGAGTTAAAAATTAATTAAACGATTACAGTAGTTATACAGACGTATTTTATTGGCGAATATATTTTAAATTATTCAACAACAGCATTTCGATCAAGTAGAGCGATAGGTACTTTCCTAAACAGATTTGAATAAAACTCCTCGGAATAAAATCGCCAGAATTAACGTTCCAAATGATTCTGAATTTGAAACAGTATTTAATTCATTAATAAATTATTTACATATGGCATGAATTCCATACAGCATACGCGAATTACTGCAAAGGTATGCTGTTTCGCCGTGGCGCTTGACTTTATACTGGCATTTATATTTTTAAAACTACCTAATATCTCTTACTATTAAACGATCATGAAGTTATTATAGATGTGACGGTATAAATGGGTGCATATAATAACAGCAGTATAAAATTCAAATTATTAGCAACAATTATTAACACATATTATTAGCACAGATGAAGATCCGGGCTTACGGATCGAAAGCTTTGCTGTAATAAATTTACGTGGTGTTTCCACAAACAAAACTATTATATTTTATCGCCATGCAAACATACAAAGAACTTAGTATAAAATTCATTGACTCTTGCATGTGTACGTATTTATTCTTGTGCGGTATTGCGATTCAAAATTAGATGCCGGCATATATATCGAAGAGGCTCTGTCGAATAGCTAACATAAATAATCCAAAAATGATATCCGTCCGCATACAAAGCGGTGAAATCATGTAGCAAGAGTCAAGAGTTCGATGAAACTTACCGTCTATATTAAGCTATACATTCCAGTTGTATGTTGCTTCTAGACTGATAAATTTTCTTCGTTGTGCTTCCTTTGAATGTAAACGTAAATAATTGTTCTGACTAGGCAAAGAATATTCTAGTCATGCCATGCATGCACTCATGTAGGGTTATCGGCTAAAAGTTATTCTTATTCAAATTCGAAGGGAACGTCTAAAACATGGAATGGAACATCTGGAAAATCTGGAATATCTCATTTTAAATCAGTTTTTACACGTTTTTGCGGAATATTAACGGGAATTGACGCCATTTAATCTTGTATAGATTCAGTCAATTTTGACGAATCCACGGAAATGAAGGGTAAAGGTTTCTATGTTCCATTTAGCCTGAAAACAGACCTAGTTATTCGCGAGCCCTAAATTTTAATACATGCACCTTGTCAATATTTTACGCATCATTACGTTCAGCTGTTTGGAAGGGCATTCAAATTTTAACAATAGAGATTTCAATAGTTTTGGTTTTTTGGGGACATCCTGTAGATATATTGAAACAATATGACTTCAAAAATTTACCAGCAGTTTCAATAGTCCACTCGGATCGTTTTTATATTTATACAAGGAGTCAAAATGTATTTTTAGTTTATTTGTTTGTGTGTGTGGCGATGTGCCAAGGCGACGAGTTTATCGTGTTCATTCTCGATGTTGACACTTTTGGTTTTTCACAGCCAACAATCAACTGGTACTCTTTTTATCTCTCTAATCGTTTTCAAGTCACTTCTGTTGGCCTTGAACAGTCGTCCACTCAACCAGTGGCTACAAGTCGGAGTACCCCAAGTAAGTACAGATCCTTTACTCTTTCTCGTTCATGTGAATGAAATTCCCTCCACTGTTAATAACTGTGACATTTCCCTGTATGCAGATAATACTGTCTGGTTTTTATCAGCTAAAACCACTATTGATGATTGGAACAAAAACTAAACTCTGACCTACAGAACTTATCTCTTTGGTTTGGTGCTATCAATGAAGACCGAAATTTCTTAATTAAAGAAAATGGCAAACTGAAGCAAGAAATCGACATACTATCGGACCAAGTCAATAGCTATAAGTGTATTACATCGGAGTTAAACACGAAAGTTAAACAACTGGAAGATGAACAGAAAAGTCTAATAACAGCAATCAAAATTGTACAAAGTGATCACAATATATACGAATAAACAAAGCACATGGCAATGCAATGTTGTTACAATTCATAAGCAGAATCAGAATGAGAGCACACAGCGTGGACAAAACTCTGGGGAAAATACCCACAATGGACTAGCCAAGACAAATATAATAACCAGTATTCTTTTTTAATTGATGAAAGTGACGACGAGATTAACATATTATCTCAAAGTAAAGTACCTAAGAATATAAATCAATCTGAACAACCCAGGCACACCCTCAGGTCCAACGAAGACAAAAGATGTCACTATTCTGCGCCTAGAAAACAACAACCAGACAACAACGGAAATAACGCCAACAACAACGAGCGAGTGCAAGATACTTGCAGTTTTCGGCGCGTAGGACAATCTATAGAGTTGTACCGACCCGTAACTCGGCACACACTCACACTCACACACAAGTAAAAAATGATATAATAAATAAGAACAAAGTAAAATAAAATACAAAATTTCGACTAAACTCTCTCGTCTCCAACGTTTGTTGTTCGTATTCGCTCACATGTCCTCTGTCCTTTTCCCCTCCCCCCGGTACTGTCAATCATCCCGCCCGCGAATAGGCAGGATACCTAAATTTGGGTCACACTCCCCTTAAAATTACGTGTAACTTAATTTTAACTCAACGAAATGTACAATGAAATAGTTTCTCCAGTCAGTCCTCATCAGCAAGCCAGTGCCGAATTCTTTCCTTTGCTTTCTCTGCTGCACGCCTTGGTGGTCTCTCCTGTTTCTCCTCGACTTTTGGCGTTGGCGCTTTCGGCTCTTCTACTTCGCTGCTACGTATCTCTAGAGGGCAAACTAATTGAATAGGTCGCTCAATCTCGTGGCCCTTATGCCGAAGTACAACTCCTCGCACAACTCCGTCCTTTCCCAATATAAGTCGCAATACTTTGCCTTTCTTCCAAAGCCCACGGTTCTTTTCTTCCCCGAGTACTAATACGATCTCCCCGACTTTCGGCAGTTGTCCGTCACCTTTGACTATGCGATGAGATTCCATAAGGCTGTGTATGTATTCTTTGTGCCAACGGTTCCACGCGTGTTGTCTGGCGGCGTTGAGACGTCTCTGCATCTTCGTAACTTCACTTTCGTCTTGTTCTCGGTCTTCCAAAATATGTGAATCGTCGCCCCATAAAATGGTGTTGGGTGTCAGGACTTGAGGCTCCCCTCCGTCACTTTCGATGTAGGTTAGTGGGCGGTTGTTTAAATGGCGTTCAATGTCCATTACCACTGCGATAAGTTGATCTAACGTAAGATGGGTCTTGCCTAGTGTCTTATACAACGTCTTTTTCACTTCCTTTATTAGCCTTTCGTACATCCCTCCCCACCAAGGGGATTTTGCTAAATTGAACTGCCATGTTATTCTTTGTTTCGCTAAGAAATCTTGTAGTGCTTCGCTTTTCCGGATCTTTTTTATCCACTGGGCTGTAGCTTTAAAGACTGCTGCGTTGTCTGATATGATGCGTTGTGGTCTCGTCTTCCGACATATGAAGGCGTTTAACTTGTCTTGGAATTCTTCCGCTGTCTGTGACTTCGTGACTTCCAAATGAACAGCTCGCGTGACTGAACAGGTGAAAATAAGAATAGATGCTTTGCCTTCTTTATTCTTGTTGACTTTGTAAACCAGCGGCCCGGCGAAATCGACACCCGTGGTTTGAAAGGGCTTGCTCGCTTCCGTGCGAAACTGTGGTAGAGGTGATGTGTCTGTCTTACCGTATGGCTTTGTTGAGAAAACTTTACAGGTATGGCAACAATTTATTGTTTTCTTTACTAATGATCTCAACCGAGGAACCCACCATTCCTCTCGAATAACACCCATGGTACTAGCAATTCCCAAATGCAATGTCTGTTCGTGAATATGGCGAATCAGTTTTTCAACAAACAATCCGTTTTCTAAGTAAATTGGTGAATAACCTTGAATCCTTCCAACACATTTCAGGATCTTCGTTTCCTCGTCTTTCTCCAGCCTCCAACCGCTACTCTCAGTGTCTTCTGGAATGTGTCCTTGTACTTTCCTTATCCAGACGTCTCTGGAGTGTGTTATCTCGTTCGTAGTTAACGGGCCCTTTATTATTTCTGTCCCCATCTTTTTTGCTCGACTGTTATGGACAAATCGTAATGCCCAAGCGGTAATTCTTAGAGTGTTCCAATAAGGTTTACGCCTTAGCAAGAGATCCCACTCGTCTTGTTGGTTTTCATTGACGAATGCAACTATTTCCTTGATTGGTTTCGCTTCATCTGTCACCGAGGACGAGCGATGCAACGTCGGCTGGGAAGGCCAATCATGTTCGTTCAGCAGCCACTCCGGACCGTCGAACCAATCTTTGTTCTCCATTTGGTTGAGCGTAGCTCCTCGGCTTCCCGCGTCTGCAACATTCTTCTCTGATGGCACATACTTCCATTGAATCCCGATTTCCTCCGTTATTTCCGCGATCTTTTTCACCCTGTTTGCGACAAACACCTTCCATGATTTTCCAGGGCTTGAAATCCAGTAGAGAGCGACCAGGCTGTCCATCCAGATGGTCACTGATCTGACGGGCAGTCTCTTCAGAGCGTTGACAAGATTCCTGGCTAAGTTTGCTGCCATCTGACCACTTATCAGCTCCAAGCGTGCGATGGATGTGTTACGCTTACAGATTCGAGATTTTGATGTTAGAAACCCTTTCACTGTTCCCGTATCGTGTTCGACAACAGCAATGGTCATTGCAGAGCAAGCCAAATTGCTCGCGTCAGCAAAGAGATGTAAGTGAACAGCCTTCACTTTCCTGCATTCTCGAATCACGCTCCTCGGTATTCGTACGTTGCGAAGTTGTCTAGTCCATTTTAACCAATCCTTGGCTAGCACCGCAGACACTTCTGAATCCCAGTTTTGATTTTCATCACATGCTTCGCGATAAATGTGTTTACCTTCCACAACTGTTGGGGATATAATTCCGAGCGGATCGTAAATACCAGCCAAATGACTCAAAATAGATTTCTTTGTAATTCGCTGTCCGTTATCTCGTTCAGGAACTTGGATCTCTAATACGTCATCTTGTTTATGCCATGTCAAACCCAGTATCTTTCCAGGATCGGGCATGTCCGCACTCTCTAGCGAATGAACATTTGACTCCCACTTATGAACAGGAAACTTCCCCTCCTCCATGATGGTTGTAGCTTCGTGCTTAAATTCCTTCAACTCTTCGACACTGTCCCCAGTCTTCATTAAGTTATCTACATATGTGTTCTCCGTAAGTGTCAACAGAGTATCAGTATGGTTCTCCTGTGGTTGGTTATCATAAAGGTGTTGCAAGGTGGCTCCGAGAAGAAAGGGGCTCGCTTCTGCGCCAAAGGGTATTCTGGTAAATATGAATTGCTCTTCCGTTCCGTCTATCAATTCAAATACAAATCGAAAGGCATCTCTGTCCTCTGGTTTCAATCCGACTTGAAGGAATGCCTGTTGAATGTCACCAATTAACAAATTCGGAGCCATTCGAGCTCTTATCAATATGTCCCACAGCAACGGCTGTAGTGGAGGGCTCTTATACATGCACTCATTAACACTTCGAGCGAGTGGGTTTGGCTTCGCGCTGGCATCAAACACCATTCGGACCTTTGTGGTTGTGGCAGAAGATTTTACCACTGGTTTATGTGGCATATAAAACACACGACTTCCGGTCGGTTCCCCTGGGACCTTCTCGATGATTCCTTTCTCAAGCTGTTGGGCTACGATGTTCCGGTATTCTGTTTTCAAACCGAGGTCTTGATTGAGTTTCTTTGTGACCGAACGCAGGCGTTTCTTGCTCTGTATCTCATTCGTCTCCGTAAGTTGAGCACCAGGTATCCACGGAACGTTGACTTGGTACCGTCCTTCCTTGTCTCGAACAATGGTCTCGTTGAATTCGGTGTAAACATCCAATTGATCGTCTTCTCCCCGGTCTTCTACACCAAGCACATCAAGACTATACAACATCTGGTAGTCGCTCACATCTCTGCAATACATGCACTCATCGTTAACAAGGTCCCCGCCATGTATTATCCAACCAAATGTTGTTCCTTCGACCACTGGCTCTCCTGGTTTCCCTTTGTAGATCTCCTCGGTTTTCATTCGAGAAAACGTGTTATCCCCAACTATAAGATGTATTGGGTATTTGTGATCCGGCTGCATGTAGAACCGTTTGTCCCTGGTATGCTCAAACTCCCGCTTCAGCTCGTTCATGTTTGGTCGCTTAATGGTAGTAAAGTTAGGCATTTTGGTCCCAGTAATCTCAATTCTCTCTTTGGCGGTTCCATCAAGTGAGGCCATTTCAACATTGAAAATGGGCATGGACTGTCGTTTCGACCCACTCACAGTGACAATATGACGAGTTTCGTGGTATACAGGAGATAATTTCAGTTTTGCTGTCGCTTAATGGTAGTAAAGTTAGGCATTCTGGTCCCACTAATCTCAATTCTCTCTTTGGCGGTTCCATCAAGTGAGGCCATTTCAACATTGAAAATGGGCATGGACTGTCGTTTCGACCCACTCACAGTGACAATATGACGAGTTTCGTGGTATACAGGAGATAATTTCAGTTGGCATCTTGGGAGAAAAGTTTCTCCCTGACCCTGTATCTAGATATGCCCACAATGTCACGCCTTGTATGTTCACAGGAATTATGGGTGGTAATGTGGTATCTGAGGGGGTATACCCAGTTAGGATGGGACCTTTCTTCCCGTCACACAGACTTGTATGGTGTTTCCCTTTGCATTTGAAACAACTCCCCCCATGGCAATTATTCGCTCGATGGCCAGATTGACCACAATTATAGCACAGTTTATTGTTCGTAAAGAACTTCCGGCGACTATCTAAATCTTTAATATCTTCACAACTGTCCGAGTAATGCTCACCTTTGCAAAAGACACATTTGGGGCTCTTCGGTTTTCCTCCACTCGCCTTTCCAGCAAACCAGTTCCGTTCTCTTCTCGATGACTCTTCGCTATGCTTCGAATCGTTCGTCGTTTTATTTCTAAGTAACCACTTCTGCAGGTTATCCAGTAAATCCTTCAAGCTCCAGTCCTCCCATTTGTCGTCAGTTCGTACCAGGTCTGGTTTAATATGTGGAAGTTTGTTCAATGTCGTCATCACAAAAGCTTTGAGAGGCCCATCCTCTCCCAAAGTATGCAGAGCGTCGAAACTCTTACTCAACCTTTCGTAGAATTCTTGGATTTTCGTATAGTTAGAACCTTTGACTACAGGTAACCCAATAATTTCCTCCATATGTGCATTTACAACTTGTTTGGTCTGTCCGTATTCTGCTTTGAGCCTTTTCCACGCTGTTTCATATCCCTTGGTACTTGGTTTAAGATTTGCCAACCGGTCTCTGACCTTGGGGTTGACCAGTTCGAGCAAATAGCCGAATTTCTTTTCGTTCGAAATAGGTTTCTTGTCAATTTGGGTCAAGAAAATATTCTCGAAACGAATCCAATCTACAACAGTTCCCTTGAAAGGGGTTATCTTCAATTTTGGCAATTTGGCACTAGTAGACTTTGCTTCCCTTTCTAGCTCCATACGTTTCTCAGTAATTTCCAACTCGGCTTGCAGTTTTTGTTCCCATAATTTTCGTTCACGTTCGTGTCTCTCAACGATTGCTGCCTCCTCTAGTTGTTGTTTAGCTTCCCACTTTCGCCGTTCAGATTCTTCTTGGGTTCGTCGCTCCCTTGACTCTAAAAAGTCAGAAAGTTTCTCCTTGTCCAGCAATAATTCTGCATATTTCGCCTTGATATCCTTTTTCCACTGACGAACAGTTCTAGGTGAAATACCACTGTCGATTTTAAACTCTTCTAGCTGTGAAATAAGCTCCGAAAGTTTGCTCATAATCTTGGATGTTTGTTTAACCGTTGTTTTTATTTCCTCGACGTCATTCGTTCGAATCAATTCGTCTGTCCCTTCCAAATAGTATTCTAGCTTCGCAATTTCCTTTTGTATCGAAGTTTCCGTACGCTCGGTGTCTTCTAAACCCTCTACTTGTTCGTTGCTTTCGTCTCCCATTATGTTCGTTATATTTCTTCACAATAGTATTAATGAATTCGAGATTTAATACGATAAACAAATATTGGCGCCAAAATATCACAAAATATATACGTACTTCGTTGTTGATTTCGCTCGTTTTTCTTCGTAAAAATCCTGGTCACGGCACCAAATGTACCGACCCGTAACTCGGCACACACTCACACTCACACACAAGTAAAAAATGATATAATAAATAAGAACAAAGTAAAATAAAATACAAAATTTCGACTAAACTCTCTCGTCTCAAACGTTTGTTGTTCGTATTCGCTCACATGTTCCTCGTGTCCTTTTCCCCTCCCCCCGGTACTGTCAATCATCCCGCCCGCGAATAGGCGGGATACCTAAATTTGGGTCAACCTTATAAGCTCAACTGGATACGATTATTCGTTGATCGATTTATTATCTGCAATTCCCGCCTAAACTCTCACGACTGAGTGCAATTCCCGCCAAAACTTTCACCGTCGTTTGCAGGATGAACGGTCGTTCATAAAAACATGTCAGTTTGTCAAGAGCACTTGACAGGTTTTGATCTGATTTTAATCTGTTGAACAACCAGATCCAAGCTTTGAAACCACCATAGTTAATAGAAATAAACATGGTTAGGAAGGCCGGTAAACTTCAAAGAATTTCCTATTCAAACTTCAACTGATGTTGAAATGTAATTCCGGGTGCACACATCTTTTGTCTTGCGTTTATTAGTATTCAAATATTACGGTTCAGCGATCGAAATTAAGGTTTTTATTGGGTAATCGCCTCAGAATCCGAGTGCACAAATTTCCATAAACTTGGACAAAAACATATAACAATGACTTTTGTCAAGCCTCCAAACCATGTTTATTTTCTACTAACTATGAAACTGTAGTAAGGTTTGAAAGAGACTTTAATATCAATACCTTAGTTTATATACACGTGGCCCCGTCATTAGTACATAAAATCTCCCTTTTCTTAAAGATATAAAACTTAATTGTCAACTTAGCTATGTCTTTCCGCTTATCTTATTTGTAACTTTAATGTTTTAATAATTTTGAATGTCAACTACTCTAGTCCAAGATTTTCTCTTGCTTTCAAAGACAATGTTTTAATTCTGTTAGGTCTGCTATTTATATTTAATGATGCTGTTGTTTCCTGTTCGTCTTGTTTCTTATCAATGTCCTTGGGGATGTTTTGCAGCTGTACTCGGTTTCGTCTTACTACCGTTGTAGGAGTATCAACCAGATATAATAATCTTGGTTTCTTTGATGGTCTAATATTACTGTTCCGGTACAATCCATGTCTGGGATGTAAACTGTTGCTTCTAGTGGTAGAGGTTTTAATGGTTGAGCTTTGTGGCGATTGTCAAAGTTCTTTTTCTGCTTCGATTCTATATACTTCTTCCTTTTCTATGAAGAGTTTCTGGTTTGGCAGTTGTGGTGTTAAATGTGGTAGCGTTATTGGTATTGTTGACTTTATCTTTCTTCCCATAAGTAGTTCTGCTGGAGAGTATCCGCTTGCTGATGGTGTTGACCTATATGCCAGTAGTGCTTTTGTTCCTTCTTCAGGATGTTTTTCACTCTCTTTATACTGCTCGTTCCACTTCGCCGTTCGCTTGATGATAACGAGGGCAGCTGGTACTGTGTTTGAATCCCCACTCTTTTGCAAACTGGGCGAATTCGTCACAATGATATTGAGGCCCATTGTCAGAACGTACCTTGTCAGGAATCCAGTGCCTGGCGAAAATGGTTTTCAGGGTTTGAATGATTTTCGATGAACTTGTACTTTTAGGTAATGCCACAACTTCGACGTAGCGAGAATAATAATCTACCACCACTAGGTAAGTAACCTTTTCTAGAATAAAAAAGGTCTGTTGCAATCAATTGCCATGGTCTTTGAGGGTGTGGCGTTGGCATCAATGGTTCTGGATGCTGCTGTCTGTATTTGCTGCATGTTGTACAGTTTTCGACCATGACTTTAATTTGGGCACTGAGTCCTGGCCACCACACCGATATTTTGGCTCGTTCTCTGTATTTGCTGATATCTTGGTGACCTTCGTGTATTTGGTTGAGGTTTTGGCGTTGCAAGCGGGATGGAATTACCAATCTTGTTCCTTTGAGCAATAACACGTCGGCGATGGTGAGCTCTCCTTGTACTGACCAGTAAGGTTTTACGGCAGGAGTGACATGATCTTTTTCTGGCCATTGATCCATACAGTATTTCTTCACTTCTTTGCATACCTCCGTCTTCATCTTGGGCTTGTTGGATTAACTTCAATATGTCGGATTAGATGCGGGCAAGGCATCAATTACACTTAAAACGTAAGCGTTCATTTAGTTTTCTTCTACGGTTGGTTGGACTGTGCTTTCAGGTATCTTCCTGGACAGAGTGTCGGCTGTGTAGTGTAGTTTTCCAGGTACGTGTCGAACATCTTTGATGTGGAATCTCATTAGTCTCATCTTGTAGCGTTTGTAGTCTTGAAGGTAACTTGTCGATGGTACGGTTGGTTAATAAAGGTACCAGTGGTTTGTGGTCAGTTTCAATTGTTATTGGTTTTCCAGTTATGTAATTGCTTGATCGTTCACATGCCCAAGTTACCGCTAGAACTTCTTTCTCTATCTGGGCATACCTAGCCTCGGCTGTTGTCATCGATCTTGAAATGAATTATACAGGTTTCCAGGTGTTTGGTTCTTCTTCTTGCAGCACCACCGCTCCAAGGCCGTATGATGATGCGTCGGCTGCTATTTTGGTTGCTTTGTTGGGGTCGTACAAGGTTAATATCGGTGCTGATGTCAGGGCTTTTTTGATTTTGTCAAAAGCGTCTTGTTGTGGTGGTCCCCATGTCCACGCAGTGTTCTTAACTAGCAGTTCTCGGATGGGCTTTGTCAGGTCAGCAAGATTGGTGGTAAATTAGATTTGCTAAATTGGTTTACCATTTCAAGATGTAGGTTGGTTGGGTGTGGCATTTCGAGAATCGCTTATATTTTCTCTGGATCGGGTTTGATGCTATCGGCTCCCATGATCTGACCTAGGAATTTCATATAATCGAGACGTTATATACACACTTTTCGGCATTTAGCGTGACGTTGGCGTTACCGAGTCGCTGGAGAACCCCTTCCAATATTCCGGTCGTGTTCTTCTTGTGTTGCACCGTGAACTAGAACATCATCGATGTTGCATTCGACGCCATCCAAACCTTCGAGAATTTGGCACATACATTTCTGAAACTTTTCAGACCCTGAACTTATTCCCACACTTTGCCTTTGGGACATCCTTTTCCTTCGAATTGCTTTTGCCTTCAACGTCCCCTTGACTTTGCCATCGAAAGGCCTTTGCCGTCGAAGGGGCTTTGCCTTTTCCTTCGATGGGCCTTTGACTTTGGCATCGAAGGGCCTTTTTTTTAAACGAACGCTCTACATATAAAGCTTCAATCTATTCCATCGCTTTAAATGCGCAACAACCTCCAACCTAGACTCTCTGGTAGTGCGACACCCTCCGACACAGCCGTACCTAGACAAGAGGTTTTGTGAGTAGAGAGGATGTTTGCTTGTTACAGTCGTAGAATTCACATTTTGCCTTCGGACAGCTTTTGCCTTTGTATTCGAACTGCTTTTGCCTTCACAGTGCCCTTGCGGTTTGCCATCGAAGGACCTTTTGCTTCCAAAGGGCATTTGGCGTCGAAGGGACTTTCAGTCGAAGGGCCTTTTCCATTGGAAGGCCATTGCATTCAGAGGGCCGTTGCCATCGAAGAGCCTTTGGCATGGAACGACCTTTGCCATCGACGAGGCCTTGTCTTTGCCATCGAAGGGTTTTTGCCATCAAAGGGCCTTTGCCTTCAAAGTTCCCTTGCCTTCGAGAAAGGCCTTTGGCGTCGAAAGGCCTGTGTGCCATCGAATTGCCTTTGCCAGGCCTTTGTCATCGGAGGGCCTTTGTCTTCAAAATGCCCTTGCATTTGCGATCGAAAGGCCTTTTCCACCGATTGGCCTTTGCCATCGAGGGGCCTTTGCCACATCGAAGGGCCTATGTCATCGAAGGGCTTTTTGTTTTAAGCCAACGCTCTACGTGTAAAGCTTCAATCTATTCCATCGCTTTAACCGTGACAAGACAAAATCCTCCGACCTACACTCTCTGGTAATTCAACGTTCTCCGACCGACCCGTACCAGGACTCGAGTGTTTGTGAGTAAACAGGATGTTTGCTTGTTATTGTCGTACAATTCACACTTTGCCTTTGGACATCCTTTTCCTTCGAATTGCTTTTGCCTTCAACGTCCCCTTGACTTTGCCATCGAAAGGCCTTTGCCGTCGACGGGGCTTTGCCATCGAAGGGCCTTTGACTTTGGCATCGAAAGGCCTTTATTTTTAAACGAACGCTCTACATATAAAGCTTCAATCTATTCCATCGCTTTAACTGCGCAACAACCTCCAACCTAGACTCTCTGGTAGTGCGACATCCACCGACACAGCCGTACCAAGACAAGAGGTTTTGTGAGTAGAGAGGATGTTTGCTTGTTACAGTCGTAGAATTCACATTTTGCCTTCGGACAGCTTTTGCCTTTGTATTCGAACTGCTTTTGCCTTCACAGTGCCCTTGCGGTTTGCCATCGAACGACCTTTGCTTCCAAAGGGCATTTGGCGTCGAAGGGACTTTCGGTCGAAGGGCCTTTTCCATTAAAAGGCCATTGCATTCAGAGGGCCTTTGCCATCGAAGAGCCTTTCGCATGGAACGACCTTTGCCATCGACGAGACCTTCTCTTTGCCATCGAAGGGTTTTTGCCATCAAAGGGCCTTTGCCTTCGAAGGGCCTTTGGCGTCGAAAGGCCTGTGCCATCGAATTGCCTTTGCCGGGCCTTTGTCATCGGAGGGCATTTGTCTTCAAAATGCCCTTGCATTTGCGATCGAAAGGCCTTTGCCATCGAAGGGCCTATGTCATCGAAGGGCTTTTTGTTTTAAGCCAACGCTCTACGTGTAAAGCTTCAATCTACTCCATCGCTTTAACCGTGACAAAATCCTCCGACCTACACTCTCTGGTAATGCAACGTTCTCCGACCGACCCGTACCAGGACTCGCCGGAGTGTTTGTGAGTAAAGAGGATGTTTGTTTGTTATTGTCGTACAATTCACACTTTGCCTTTGGACATCGTTTTCCTTCGAATTGCTTTTGCCTTCAACGCCCCTTGACTTTGCCATCGAAAGGCCTTTGCCGTCGAAGGGGTTTTGCCATCGAAGGGCCTTTGCCTTTTCCTTCGATGGGCCTTTGACTTTGGCATCGAAGGGCCTTTATTTTTAAACGAACGCTCTACATATAAAGCTTCAATCTAATCCATCGCTTTAACTGCGCAACAACCTCCAACCTAGACTCTCTGGTAGTGCGACACGCCGACATCCTCCGACACAGCCGTACCTAGACAAGAGGTTTTGTGAGTAGAGAGGATGTTTGCTTGTTACAGTTGTAGAATTCACATTTTGCCTTTGGACAGCTTTTGGCTTTGTATTCGAACTGCTTTTGCCTTCACAGTGCCCTTGCGGTTTGCCATCGAAGGACCTTTGCTTCCAAAGGGCATTTGGAATCGAAGAGACTTTCAGTCGAAGGGCCTTTTCCATTGAAAGGCCATTTGCATTCAGAGGGCCTTTGCCATCGAAGAGCCTTTGGCATGGAACGACCTTTGCCATCGACGAGACCTTGTCTTTGCCATCGAAGGGTTTTTGCCATCAAAGGGCCTTTGCCTTCAAAGTTCCCTTGCCTTCGAAGGGCCTGTGCCATCGAATTGCCTTTGCCGGGCCTTTGTCATCGGAGGGCATTTGTCTTCAAAATGCCCTTGCTTTTCCACCGAATGGCCTTTGACATCGAAGTGCCTTTTGCCACATCGAAGGGCCTATGTCATCGAAGGGCTTTTTGTTTTAAGCCAACGCTCTACGTGTAAAGCTTCAATCTACTCCATCGCTTTAACCATGACAAAATCCTCCGACCTACACTCTCTGGTAATGCAACGTTCTCCGACCGACCCGTACCAGGACTCGAGTGTTTGTGAGTAAAGAGGATGTTTGCTTGTTATTGTCGTACAATTCACACTTTGCCTTTGGACATCCTTTTCCTTCGAATTGATTTTGCCTTCAACGTCCCCTTGACTTTGCCATCGAAGGGTTTTTGCCATCAAAGGGCCTTTGCCTTCAAAGTTCCCTTGCCTTTCGAAGGGCCTTTGGCGTCGAAAGGCCTGTGCCATCGAAAGGCCTTTGCCGTCGAAGGGTCTTTATTTTTAAACGAACGCTCTACATATAAAGCTTCAATCTATTTTCCGTCGCTTTAACTGCGCAACAACCTCCAACCTAGACTCTCTGGTAGTGCGACATCCTCCGACACAGCCGTACCTAGACAAGAGGTTTGTGAGTAGAGAGGATGTTTGCTTGTTACAGTCGTAGAATTCACATTTTGCCTTCGGACAGCTTTTGCCTTTGTATTCGAACTGCTTTTGCCTTCACAGTGCCCTTGCGGTTTGCCATCGAAGGACCTTTGCTTCCAAAGGGCATTTGGCGTCGAAGGGACTTTCAGTCGAAGGGCCTTTTCCATTGAAAGGCCATTGCATTCAGAGGGCCTTTGCCATCGAAGAGCCTTTCGCATGGAACGACCTTTGCCATCGACGAGACCTTCTCTTTGCCATCGAAGGGTTTTTGCCATCAAAGGGCCTTTGCCTTCAAAGTTCCCTTGCCTTCGAAGGGCCTTTGGCGTCGAAAGGCCTGTGCCATCGAATTGCATTTGCCGGGCCTTTGTCATCGGAGGGCCTTTGTCCTCAAAGTGCCCTTACATTTACGATCGAAAGGCCTTTTCCATCGAATGACCTTTGCCATCGAGGGGGCTTTGCCATCGAAACGCCTTTGCCTTTAAAGGGCCTTTGCCATCGAAGTGCCTTTTGCCACATCGAAGGCCTTTGCCATCGAAGGGCTTTTTGTTTCATGCCAACGCTCTACGCGTAAAGCTTCAATCTACTCCATCGCTTTAACCGTTGCAACATCCTCCGACGTAGACTTTCTGGTAATGCAACGTACTCCGAACGAGCCGTACCAAGACTCGAGTGTTTGTGAGTAAAGAGGATGTTTGCTTGTTATAGTTGTGCAATTCACACCTTGCCTTTGGACATCCTTTTCCTTCGAATTGCTTTTGCCTTCAACGTCCCCTTTGACTTTGCCATCGAAAGGCCTTTGCCATCGACGGGGCTTTGCCATCGAAGACCCTTTGCCTTTTTCTTCGATGAGCTTT